CTTCTGAGCAGGAGGAGGACACACATTGCCACGAGGTGAGCCTCAGGTATTTGAGCGCAGCACTGAAGTGCATTGGCGTTTCAGCGAGGCTTTGGCCACGAGGATGTGGAAACGGACGTCGCCAAAGAAAGTCTCGATGTAGACCTCTCAGCAATGAGTCCAATCCTAGCCGCTTGCTAGAGTCATGCCACTGGAATTGGCCACCATTCCCCGTTTGGTCTATTGACACTATTGTCATAATCGGAAAGCTCCAATTCAACAGCGAGATGCCGAACTCGCTAAATGACATTTTGACCCCCAGCCTCTGAAGCTGGCAAATCCTCCTTGGCTTCACAGATTGAATGCCAGACCTATGGCCTGAGAACTGGGAACTTCCGGACCGGACCCGAAACCTCGAGCTTCGGGCTAGGAAGCTCTGCAGGCTGATGAGCGCTGACATGATGGCCACCGGTGTGTGGACACCACCTCACGACAAACAAATCCAACATGGACATTTGCAGCATCGACTCTGACTTTGACTTAGAGTAGATTCCGCAGGCAGCTGACAAATCATCACGAATGATACACACCTCTGCGTTATCATCTTGCCTCGTCTTGCTTTCTTGGCCGTCTTTCCCTCAACGTACGCTTGCCTGGATCTGCCTCAGCAGATTGACCGTAGAAGCGCTTCGCCAGCGGCAGGTCCTGCCTAGCGAGACGGACGCCACGCGAGAGGCGAGGACCAATTTGAGATTGGCCAAGTGGATGCAAGTGGCGTGGAAACGGATTTGAACAGGAAGCAAAACAGGACATTCTCTGAACAAATTATCGAAGGCCTGGGAAGTGGCACGCACTCGATCTGCAACGGTCAGTGAAAGCAAACAAATTGCTGCGAACAAGCCAAAGCGAGCTGGTTTTCTTCGTCGAACACACACGCACAGCCTTGCATGTCAATGTGGAAGTACGTACGCAGTACCGTGTGCAAACAACAGTGTGAGCGCAAGCAAGCCAGGAATCAAGCATCTCTGTAGTGCTGTTTCCAGTCCACGAGTCCACGGCTTGACGCCAACACCAAACTGGTGCATGTAGCCTGGGCCAAGAGGGCGTTGCTCTGAAACTCAACATGAAGTATCATGCGCTCACGCTTTGACCACTCCAGCTCTGTCCAGTTGAGGTTTTTAGTATACGTACGTTCCTGACATTGCAAACAGCTTGGTTCGGTCACGTTCCACACCCCTTCGAAGAGACAAGCCTATGCGCTCCCCACTCCTTGAGATGCGCCTGCGGCAAAAAAAGAAAAAACATTTCCTAGGATCTAGCTTCTACGGTTGTCCTTTCTGCGAGCATGCACTCCTACATATTATGAGAGCTTTAAACAAAAAATTAAGGGACCTCCAGCAGCGCAAGTGATAAAGCCTGAGACTTGTTGCATGGCTCTTGTCCGAAAGGATGATTGCGAAAGCGAGAAAGCGCTCCACTCTCAAGATTTACTCTGCCCCAACATGCCTGAAACCTTGGTGAGAACCAAGGTGCGGCAATTTGGTGAGTGTACCCGTACGCCAGTTCCCAGCGAGTATTGACCGCTGCCAAGACCAAGGCCCTTCAGTGCCTGAGACCGACCGAAAGCGCATGCTGGGTGAACGGGCCCAGGTTGAAGCTGGCCCGTGCCACAAAAGGCCTCGGCTCAACCGGATCAATACGCATGTTTTGCAAGCTTGTGTTGGACCTAACGCACCAGAGAACCCGAATCTATCCACTCGCTGCCAAATATGTTTCGACCCAAGCTGCTGCATCCACTCGCCGGCGATTCGCATGGTCGCTGTTCGCCTGCAGGGACCAGGGTCCGCCGATGTCCACAGCATTGCTCTTGCCAGGATTCCTTCGTAAGGGGACCTTGCGAACATGTCAGGCCAAAAGGTACATCAACTATCGACTCATATTCAGAACATTTGAACACGTCAATTATCATTTTGGAGATTTCGACACACTGGGACACCTTCACTTCGTTCACTTCGTTCGCTTGGCTTTGCCTGTAGTGCGCCAGGGACAGCTCCATGTCAGTGTCCTCGGGGTACATCGGTTGCATAAAAAAGTCGGAGCTCCGTACACAACTCTCCAGTGGGCAAAGAGTAACTCCTGATGGTTTCGAGCCGGTTCACTTTCGCGGAACATTGAAGTCCTCTCTTTTGACACATCCTAAACCGACCCTGAACCAACCCGAAGCCAACCCTAAACCAGCACAGCCCTACCCTGCAACCCTCACCCTTAACCCCAACCCTAACCCTAAATCAACCCGAACCCCAAACCCACCCTAAACCCACCGTAAACCAACCCTAAACCAACCACCCAACAACCCCACCCCTCACGGGGGGGGTTCACTGCCTGGAACATATATATGTATATATATAATATTTATATTGTAACCATTGTGATTTCTTCCAAGAAAGCCTCCATTGCATTTAAGCAATTCTTATGACCACGGCACACACAAGTGCTCGCCCGTCCTGCGGTGCAAGTTGGGCCTCGCTGGGCTCAAGCTCCTGTGAACGAAATCTAGCAATGCAAGCACCATGCCTTCCCAAAACACGATGCCTTCCGTTGCTCTTTGCTTGGGCAACCGTCTCAGACTTTAGCCTCTATGACACCCGGGGCATCTCCGGCGCCGAAAATGACTGGCTGTTTATGGCTCATGCTGTGTTGCAAGGCTCGAGCTGAACACATCCTCATCATCGCCGCTCTCCAAACGTACGCCCCAGCCTAGCACGGATCATTCGCTCGGAACTGGCGAAACACATCTAGATTGTCGGATGCCTCTGGGCTTCACATGGCTTCACGTGGCTTCACATGGCTTCACTGTTCATGCCAGGCTTGACAACTCGGAAGCGAGGCTGTTGAAAATACTTCAACCACCGAGCCAGCCACCGTAGTATGCGAAGTCCCCCAATCGCAACTCCTCAAGTCAAACACTCTAACAGAATGCGCCCACAGTGTGAAAGACATGAGAAAGGCAAGGGACGCAATGGTCACCAGGGACCAAATGAACGTGAGCAAATGATGAGCAAACAATGAGGCCACAGTGAGCAATGTTTTCTTTTGGCACGTCTTTGGAGGTTTTCTTGGGGATGACCTCCCAACCGGTGAACTCGTCAACTTTTCCGCTCCGAGAAGGCGTTGCCCTGCTCCGCGGAGAGCTCGTAGTGCCGCTGCGCGAAGGCCCGGCCCACCCGGTCCTCGCGCACCCGGATGGAGAGATGCCTTACGATGCCTCGCATAAAATGGATATGGTCTGTCTACTGTTTGTCTTGTCGGAGATACCATACAATGGTTATAGGCGTTAGTTTCCTTGTGGGAAACAAACACGTTGTAGCCTTTAAACGGACACCTCCCCTCTGGGATTTGATGCGGCAGGTTTATTGTGGGAATCTAGAAGCTGACGTGTTGGCGCATGCCTCGGCCTGAAGTAAGCTCTTGAGCACCCCTTGACAAAGACGTTCCATTTGCAAGGCAGCAAACACATTGCCATTCCTGGACAACTCCAAGAGAAACAAAGAACCCCTCGAACAGCTACTTGATCACATTTGTTCATGCAGTTGACAGTCAGGCCTCCGCCAGCACGCTCACTAAAACTCCGCCTTGCATGCGGACATGGATCTTGCGGCGTGGACAAGGCACAAGCAGCTTTGTCACAGCTGTTTCAACCCCCAAATGCAAGACATGAAGCCTATCAGCTGAGCCGGAAACACTGGTGGCTTTCTTGCAGCCATGTTCTGGTCAGACCCCAACAGGGAGGAAGCAAACCCATGCCCCATTCGACGTCCTACGTGGACGAAGCCTTACGCATTGCGTAACCACATATAAACCAGCAAAGCATTGGATGTATTCTCAGTTGCCCCGACGGCGCATCGTCATAATAGTACGTACTTTGTTCACCGTGCTCAAGTGTCTTCAAAACGAGACAGCTTAGCAAAACAGATATGAAATATGGGAAGCCTGGCGCGAAGCCCTCAAGGGAAGCTTGGGGACCAAGTAAGCAAACATCTGCCGAGGCCCTTGAGCCTGCGATTAGACCGGAGAGAGGCGACCTTGTCGCGTGGTTTGTGGTCTTCGGAGCATCTGTTTTTTGTTTGTCGCGATTCTCAAAGAAAAGTCACAATTCTATAGCTCAGTGGTAGCACAGTTGCGCTTGAAAACACTAGTACGCCGGTGCTTGGTTTGCGGGCAATGTGTCTAGGCTTCATGGGCCTTGCGTGTAACAGCCGAGTTCTACTGCCGTGTAATCAGGGTTTCGCAATTCGGAGTGTGGTGGGCTGTGAGGGCGATGGGCTTTGCCGTGTTGCAGGAAGAATGCCATGTTTTGTCAAAACAGCCGAGTTCTAGTTCAACTCGGCAGCTCTCTTTTTTTAGGCTGCTGCTATGTGGTTGGGGATTCGTGATGTAGGCTCTCAGCTTTGGGGGCCATCGTGCTTGCATCCGAGGCGGGCTTGTGGTAGCATGAAAATCAGGCCAGGAGAGTTGGGCCTGGGCATGGTCCAGTGTGTAGGGTAGGACAATCCAGGTTGACAAGTTGGCTGTCTTCTTTTGGTGGACCCTTTTGATGCATTCGCGCATGTTGATGTTTTATGTCATAAGTTGATTGCTTTACATATCGCCAGTCCAAAAAATTGAAAATGAAAACAAGAGTACAGCAACCTTCCATTCTGCGCCCGGTCCCGGGCTTGAGTTCAGCAGCAAGGTCGAGGCACCTCCGGTGCGGTCGATGCGGCCACAAGCACGGCCTGCAAAAATCAAGGCTCGAGCAATGGCCTTTTTCCACGGCAGCTGGCCTTTACATGCTTCAGCTCCGATGGATGTGTAGCAAATGGAACGCGCCTGAACCAAAGGAGCTACGGTGAGCCACAGGCACAGCGGACAATTGGGGCTGCATGGGAACGGCTTGGGAACGGGATGTGAGTACTCAGTACTCACCACAGGCGGAACGTGGCACATGCCAACCTTCCGAGATCTACTGGAGCTATTTTGAGCTATTGGAGCTCGTTGCGCAGCTCTTCCAGGCAACCCTTCATGAGCTGATGCAGGCAGCCACAGAAGTTCCTTGCGATGCTCCCCACCAAGCCTGTGACGGTCATCTTGGCAAAGATCTTGTCCAGCTGGCGCAACCTCTCCGGCACAAACAAGGTGCTGCAGCCCCGCAGAGCGTACTCTCGCTCCACCAGCTCTACCAGGCGCTGCAATTGAGGGCTCACCTGAACACACCTCCGCAGGTGTGGGAGAATCATCGTGAGCAGCATCGGCTCGGACATGGAGGCCACCAGGTCTCGCTCTACCTTGTCAAAAGAGGCAGGCCTCGCCGGGTGATGCCCATTGCACCAGCTACAGGCTTCCTGTTGGCAGTCGCATCGAGCGAAAAGAATACAAGGCCGCCGGCACAGCTGGGGGTGTCCCAGGCTGCCCACATTGCTCGGGAGCTGGCTGGCGGGACTTGCCGCGGGTATAGCCGGCGCTGTGTCCTGTCAAGGGCTCTGCGGCTCTACACAAAACAAAGTTGTTGTTTCCTTACAAAACACGTCAGAATCAGCAAGCTCCGAAATCCCGGCGACTTGAGTCTCCTGCGTCATGGCTTGAGCTCTCTCGGCCAGCATGGCCACTTGCGCTTGCATCTCGAGCTCCCTCCGCAAAGGGTTCTGTGCCCAGGGCGTGGCACCGAGGCCGGACAGCTCGCAGATCGCGGCGTCAATGAGATCAAAGGGTCCTCATCGATGAAGGTGCGCAGATACCGCAGGCCAGGCATTGCGCGACGATTTTAAAGAGTCGATTGAAACAATGTCTTGCCTTCAGCCAAGAGAATCAGCGCCACGAGTTCTTCCAAAGACCTCATACCCTTTGAAGCAATCCAGTGCAAATATGCAGAATCTTACGGAATGCATGAGGCTGGATGGGTTGCCCGTGCCATGAGTTTCTATCTCACTGCAAAGCTTCGGGCCGTGAAGAGCCTCGCCTGTGTCAAAGAGCTGTGCCACATTCATCTGAGCCACCTCCAAATCAAACCCGGCACTCTCCGAGTCGCTCGGGTTGCACTTGCTGAAACTCCCGTGACAAGCCCCAGAATAAATGTGAGAATACATTCTCTAACCGAGGGAAAATAACGACCAACATGCCGAACATATCAAAAGCATCGTGACATATGCCGACATGCGACATGTCGCGCCTCGTGGCCCGCCTCTGCAAGGCTCAGAAAGCGCCAAGCTGCGGCATTCGGACCTCGCAACTTGGGCTTTGGAGGCCGTTTCGGCCGACTGAGGCAAACCGGAGCTATGCATATGGGTACCCATATGTCTATGAATTGGTAGGAGTATCCTAGAATCCTAGAGCTGGCTTTAGGACTGGCCTTTGTGAGGAACATCCGCCACAGGCACCGCTGCCAATCGGCCACAACCGAAATCAAACAGATGTTTCGACCTAGAGTATTCGTGGGCACAGAGCCAAGCTCATGACTGCGTCAGCCCCCTGATATCTATGCAAGAAGCGTTTTAATTCGCAGGCACCACCTGAGCATCTTTCCTTTGCGAGCTCCGAGTCTGTGCTAGACGCAGCAATCTATCAGAATAAGACGAATATCCACTAAGTCACTACCCCCTGTCAGGAAAAAAAAAGCGCTGCAAGAGACTTGACATCTGAAAGATCTGCCCTGAGCCTGCGGCGGCCCTCTTGGTGCAGCTCCTGTGCTTCCCTGAGCCTCGGGCGTTTCCCGGAACGAGCACCCAGGGCCAAGGGCACCGTGCGCCATCTTGTTCCATCGCGGACAATATTACCCGCACATGGCAGTGGCCCCTATCAGCTTTCGGGGTGTTTACGCCCAACAAATCTACATAACTCAGGGGCCAACCTCCCGCTGTAGTTTCGAGAGGCACAACGGTTATTGGGCAGGCTAACGCAATGCGCGTTCGTAAGCTAAAAGCGTGCACGCCACCATGTACATGGGGTTGTATAACAAAAAATGCGCCGTTTGCTTGTCCCGGAAAATGTCTCTCGTTTTGTCTTCCTCTTATCGTTTCGCAAGGTGTTGCAGCTCCGGCTGGAAAGTTGCACCTCGTACAAAAGTAGAACACGAACTGCGCGGTTCCGCACTTCCAGACTTGCTGCTCGTAAGCAGTGATCATTGTTTAGGCGCTCCGAGCTCTGTTTTTTGTCCGGATGGCTTCTTTGGGAACGCTCACATGCCACATCCTTGGGTATCAGTCAGGTGTCTGTCGGAACACAACTCCAACTACTGATAGCCAAGCGAGCGGCCAAAACCGCTTGAGGGTTGGGGAACCGTTCGAAGTTGACTCAGACTGGTCTTCCTAGCTCCAATTGAAGCAAAGCACCACCGCTTCGATGCGGCTTTGACAGGACAAGTGGCCATATCTAAATCATCTCCTACACCTTCAATCATATGGTATGACCTGGTATGATGGTTTCCTTGCTGTCGACAGCACGTGCCAGGCAAAAGATGTCCTTGATCCCACCCGGCGCCATTACCGATGCCACGTTTCCTTCGGGCCTTGTGGCTCCAAAGGCCGGTCTGCACATGCCTTTCTCTGCCTGTTCACTGCCTTGTCCCGCTTTGAGACACATCGGAGGCTCCCCATGTGAGAGCTCACTTTGCTCCTCGCGGCTCAGAGATTTCACGGCACGGACCGGCCTGGCAAGTTAGGCATGGGTGATCATGGGTGCACCGCAAGGCTGGGACAAACAGATTAAACAGCGTTTGGTTTCAATTTCCAATCTAGTGAATCCATTTCTTGCATGGCACCACTGAATCTCTCAGGCGTCTCTGCGTGCCTTGTCCCTGGGCTTTGGAGTCAGCCCTGAAGCGTCACCCAGACCTCGGCGAGATCATGCCGTGCCGTGGACTAGATGTTCGGATGTCATTTTGCATCAACAGGGTTCGGTGGTGGGGTTTGCATGCTCTGTGTATTGCTAGGCGGGCTTCAGCCAGTCAGCAATGCAATCTAGAGATTTGACAAATCTCCGATTTCAATACAATCCGCTTGACTCTGCCGGTGTCCAAGGCAATCCATCAAACACGAAACCAAGCGGCTAATGGACACCTCGCATGCCGCCCGCGTGGCTGAGGGCCCTGCCCAGTGAGTCCAGCCTGCTGTCGGTCCTCTCCGCCCGTATAGCCAGCCAGCAAGCGCTCCCTGGCCTGCAAACGGGGCAATGCGTCCCATTGTCAGACCAATGCATGTTTCAAAGGGAAGCCAAAAGGAAACCACTCTTGTGTAGGTTCCATGAGACAAGCCCAAATGTGAAACATGAATGCTACGCAGCTATGGTCGTTTATGCTCACCCTGTCATTCCATCTTCAATCCTGATTTTGGGCTTGGCGAAGCCGCACAAATTAGGCTGGAGGCAAGTGGATGAGACAGTCACAAAAAAAAAACGCTGCCAGATGTTCAATGCTTGGCTGCTGAACAAGGCTGGGAATGAACGTGTCAGAGCTCCCCACCCTCGTCGAAGACTTTGCCCGGCCTGCAAGTCCGCCACATAATCATCTAAGTCTCCCACCTCAGTGACAAAGCTGCAAAGGCTTTCCCTTCTTTGAGTCATTCAATGACTCGATAATGAATGCGCTGGCCCCTTCAAAACACGTGTGCCTTTGCTGTGATGGCCGTGTTTTCCCAGCAACACGGCACAACAAAATGCATGCAACGAAGACTTCAACCGCCTGTCATAATGGCAACATCTGCCTGGGTTAAGCTTCACACAAGCTTCCGCCTAAGTGAGTGATCATAGCGCCGATGAAGCCAATCCCGATCAATCCCGCATTAATCAAATTGCCTCCCAATTCTTGTTCATTCCGTCAAAGGCTGGGCAAAGCTGGTGATTGCCAGGCTCGGCAGCGCAAATGCCAAAAGTGGGCTTGCATCACTTGTTTTTTCAAGCAAACAGCGGTTTTGCATCATGAACGAAGTGCAAGGACAGTAACACATCCATTTTTCAATCATGCAAAATCAAACAAGCAACAGATCGGACCACGCTGCGATCCAACCATTCCGAGGCCCACTGCATGCCTAGTCACCGTTTTGCATTGCCACAGGCTCTCTCGGCCCACGCGGGAGTAGGCCAGCCTTAGGACACAGAGACTTTGTTTTGGATTCCAAATCGCGAGGTCGTGCCTCCTGGCAGCCAACTGTCAAACCTGCGTTATGTGTGCCTGCTTGCAAACATGCACGCAAATGTCCAATTGCCAACACAGCACGTCGTGTGTCGTCCTGCTATCGAAGACTGAAATGAAAACCTCCAGAGCTCAAATTGTGCATATTTGGCTGCTGCAGAAACCGGACAATTCAAGAGCCGCGGCATATGCTTCATGGCTGGCTGCGATCTGTCTTTTAGGGTGAAACTTGTGAACATCAACATTTTGCTTCCTTGGCACAGGAAACTATCCCAAAACAGCAAAGCAGTTTGGCGCGCAATCCGTTCTGCTGGTCTGGGGCAGTATCAAATTCAGCATGTCCTGCATTTTTGCATTACGTTGCACTACCCCCAGTCGGGCTACTGAGATTCTGGTTCCACGGCCCGCGGAGTCTGTTCAACAAAGCGCGAGCGCTATGCTAGAATTACTTGGTCGGGAAGCTGGCGATAAGGGAATGCTCACACTGCCTGACTGCTGCGACAGCTACGCGGCGATCTAGAAAGAGAAGACATCTCACATGGCAAAACGGGCAATTTGGAGACGGTAGATATTAAGCTTTTAGATACCATGCCATTGCAAGTTCACAAAGTCATGGCCCGAGAATCTCCTTCATCCCTTCTTCCTAATGCTAAACAGTCCCCTAACACGAAAACCGACCTTTGGTAATCCCAAATCCGGGAATACTACTTTCAAAGTAGCCAATACTAAACCAATTCTAACGTAGGTGTTATCCCGCCCGCGCCCAAATCCAGCCTTGTTAGGGAGCTCCTTTTGCACCTTCAATCCTTCAAGCCATGTCTACTAAGTGGGGGCTCTTCGTAACGGGTAGCTGGCTCGGGTAGCTGGCCTACTTCCCTGAAACGAAACAAAGGGAATTCCTCGCCTTTTGCTGGAGGGTTTGAGTATTAGGGTCTGCGGTTCTTAGAATTTGGGTATACGTTTCTTGCTACGGCTGTACTACACAGTTGCGACTTTCGAGCCGGAACTCCGGGAGTATGTTTACTTTTAAAAACAACGATACTACGGTTGCACTACAAAGTTGCGACTTTCGAGCCGGAGCTCCGGGAGTACGTTTACTCTAAGAAAACTTTACTACGGCTGTACTACAAAGTTGCGACTTTTGAGCCGGAGCTCCGGGAGTATGTTTACTTTAACAAAAACTATCCTACGGTTGCACTACAAAGTTGTGACTTTCGAGCCGGAGCTCCGGGAGTACGTTTACTTAAAAACTATACTACGGTTGCACTACAAAGTTGCGGCTTTCGAGCCGGAGCTAAAAAACTATACTACGGTTGCACTACAAAGTTGCGACTTTCGAGCCGGAGCTCCGGGAGTACGTTTACTCTAAGAAAACTTTACTACGGCTGTACTACAAAGTTGCGACTTTTGAGCCGGAGCTCCGGGAGTATGTTTACTTTAACAAAAACTATCCTACGGTTGCACTACAAAGTTGTGACTTTCGAGCCGGAGCTCCGGGAGTACGTTTACTTAAAAACTATACTACGGTTGCACTACAAAGTTGCGGCTTTCGAGCCGGAGCTAAAAAACTATACTACGGTTGCACTACAAAGTTGCGACTTTCGAGCCGGAGCTCCGGGAGTACGTTTACTCTAAGAAAACTTTACTACGGCTGTACTACAAAGTTGCCACTTTCGAGCCGGAGCTCCGGGAGTACGTGTACTTAAAAACAAAAAACAAAACCTATACTACGGTTGCACTACAAAGTTGCGACTTTCGAGCCGGAGCTCCGGGAGTACGTTTACTTTAAAAAATCTATACTACGGTTGCGCTACAAAGTTACGACTTTCGAGCCGGAGCTTCGGGAGTATGTTTACTTTTAAAAAACTATACTATGGTTGCACTACAAAGTTGCGACTTTCGAGCCGGAGCTCCGGGAGTATGTTTACTTTCAAACAACTATACTACGGTTGCACTACAAAGTTGCGACTTTCGAGCCGGAGCTCCGGGAGTACGTGTACTAAAAAAAACAACTATACTACGGTTGCACTACAAAGTTGCGACTTTCGAGCCGGAGTTCCGGCAGTAAGTTTACTTTTAAAAAAAACTATACTACGGTTGCACTACAAAGTTGCGACTTTCGAGCCGGAGCTCCCGGAGTACGTTTACTCTAAGAAAAATAAATACGGCTGAGCTACAAAGTTGCGACTTTCGAGCCGAAGCTCCAGGAGTACGTTTACTTAAACAACTATACTACGGCTGCACTACAAAGTTGCGACTTTCGAGCCGGAGCTCCGGGAGTACGTTTGCTACTTTCGAGCCGGAGCTCCGGGAGTACGTTTACTTTCAAAAAGTATACTACGGTTGCACTACAAAGTTGCGACTTTCGAGACGGAGCTCCGGGAGTATGTACTACTTAAGAACTATACTACGGTTGCACTACAAAGTTGCGACTTTCGAGCCGGAGCTCCGGGAGTACGTTTACTTTCAAAAACTATACTACGGTTGAACTACAAAGTTGCGAATTTCGAGCCGGAGCTCCGGGAGTACGTTTACTTTCAAAAAAACCAATACTATACTACGGTTGCACTACAAAGTTGCGAATTTCGAGCCGGAGCTCCGGGAGTATGTGTACTTTCAAAAAACGATGCTACGGTTGCACTACAAAGTTGCGACTTTCGAGCCGAAGCTCCGGGAGTACGTTTACTAAAAAATATATACTACGGTTGCACTACAAAGTTGCGACCTTCGAGCCGGAGCTCCGGGAGTACGTTTACTAAAAAAAACTATACTACGGTTGCACTACAAAGTTGCGACTTTCGAGCCGGAGCTCCGGGAGTACGTTTACTTTTCAAAAAACTATACTATGGTTGCACTACAAAGTTGCGACTTTCGAGCCGGAGCTCCGGGAGTACGTTTACTTAAAAACTATACTACGGTTGCACTACAAAGTTGCGACTTTCGAGCCGGAGCTCCCGGAGTACGTTTACTCGAAAAAAAAGAAGAAAACAAACTATACTACGGTTGCACTACAAAGTTGCGACTTTCGAGCCGGAGCTCCCGGAGTACGTTTACTCTAAGAAAAACAAATACGGCTGCGCTACAAAGTTGCGACTTTCGAGCCGAAGCTCCAGGAGTACGTTTACTTAAACAACTATACTACGGCTGCACTACAAAGTTGCGACTTTCGAGCCGGAGCTCCGGGAGTACGTTTGCTACTTTCGAGCCGGAGCTCCGGGAGTACGTTTACTTTCAAAAAGTATACTACGGTTGCACTACAAAGTTGCGACTTTCGAGACGGAGCTCCGGGAGTATGTTTACTTAAGAACTATACTACGGTTGCACTACAAAGTTGCGACTTTCGAGCCGGAGCTCCGGGAGTACGTTTACTTTCAAAAACTATACTACGGTTGAACTACAAAGTTGCGAATTTCGAGCCGGAGCTCCGGGAGTACGTTTACTTTAAAAAAACAAATACTATACTACGGTTGCACTACAAAGTTGCGAATTTCGAGCCGGAGCTCCGGGAGTATGTGTGCTTTCAAAAAACGATGCTACGGTTGCACTACAAAGCTGCGACTTTCGAGCCGAAGCTCCGGGAGTACGTTTACTAAAAAAATATATACTACGGTTGCACTACAAAGTTGCGACTTTGGAGCCGGAGCTCCGGGAGTACGTTTACTAAAAAAAACTATACTACGGTTGCACTACAAAGTTGCGACTTTCGAGCCGGAGCCCCGGGAGTACGTTTACTTTTCAAAAAACTATACTATGGTTGCACTACAAAGTTGCGACTTTCGAGCCGGAGCTCCGGGAGTACGTTTACTTAAAAACTATACTACGGTTGCACTACAAAGTTGCGACTTTCGAGCCGGAGCTCCGGGAGTACGTTTACTCGAAAAAAAGAAGAAAACAAACTATACTACGGTTGCACTACAAAGTTGCGACTTTCGAGCCGGAGCTCCGGGAGTACGTTTACTCGAAAAAGAAAGAAAGAAAAAACTATACTACGGTTGCACTACAAAGTTGCGACTTTCGAGCCGGAGCTCCGGGAGTACGTTTATTCGAAAAAAGAAAGAAAAAAACTATACTACGGTTGCACTACAAAGTTGCGACTTTCGAGCCGGAGCTCCGGGAGTACGTTTACTCGAAAAAAAGAAGAAAACAAACTATACTACGGTTGCACTACAAAGTTGCGACTTTCGAGCCGGAGCTCCGGGAGTACGTTTACTCGAAAAAGAAAAAAAAAGAAAAAAACTATACTACGGTTGCACTACAAAGTTGCGACTTTCGAGCCGGAGCTCCGGGAGTACGTTTACTCGAAAAAAAGAAGAAAACAAACTATACTACGGTTGCACTACAAAGTTGCGACTTTCGAGCCGGAGCTCCGGGAGTACGTTTACTCGAAAAAGAAAAAAGAAAAAACTATACTACGGTTGCACTACAAAGTTGCGACTTTCGAGCTGGAGCTCCGGGAGTACGTTTACTCGAAAAAAAAGAAGAAAAACTATAGTACGGTTGCACTACAAAGTTGCGACTTTCGAGCCGGAGCTCCGGGAGTACGTTTACTCGAAAAGAAAGAAAGAAAACAAACTATACTACGGTTGCACTACAAAGTTGCGACTTTCGAGCTGAAGCTCCGGGAGTACGTTTACTCGAAGAAAAAGAAGAAACACTATACTACGGTTGCACTACAAAGTTGCGACTTTCGAGCCGGAGCTCCGGGAGTACGTTTAATTGAAAAAAGAAAAAGAAAAAAAACTATATACTACGGTTGCACTACAAAGTTGCGACTTTCGAGCCGGAGCTCCGGGAGTACGTTTACTCGAAAAGAAAAAGAAAAAACAACTATACTACGGTTGCACTACAAAGTTGCGACTTTCGAGCCGGAGCTCCGGGAGTACGTTTACTCGAAAAAAAGAAAACACAAAAAACTATACTACGGTTGCACTACAAAGTTGCGACTTTCGAGCCGGAGCTCCGGGAGTACGTTTACTCGAAAAAAGAAAAGAAAAACACTATACTACGGTTTCACTACAAAGTTGCGACTTTCGAGCCGGAGCTCCGGGAGTACGTTTACTCGAAAAAAAAGAAAGAAAAACAACTATACTACGGTTGCACTACAAAGTTGCGACTTTCAAGCCGGAGCTCCGGGAGTACGTTTACTCGAAAATAAAAGAAAAGAACAAAAACTATACTACGGTTGCACTACAAAGTTGCGACTTTCGAGCCGGAGCTCCGGGAGTACGTTTACTCGAAAAAGAAAGAAAGAAAAACAACTATACTACGGTTGCACTACAAAGTTGCGACTTTCGAGCCGGAGCTCCGGGAGTACGTTTACTCGAAAAAGAAAAGAAACAACTATACTACGGTTGCACTACAAAGTTGCGACTTTCGAGGGAGTACGTTTACTCGAAAAAAGAAAAGATAAACAACTATACTACGGTTGCACTACAAAGTTGCGACTTTCGAGCTGGAGCTGCGGGAGTACGTTTACTCGAAAAAATGAAAGAAAGAAAAAAGACTATACTACGGTTGCACTACAAAGTTGCGACTTTCGAGGGAGTACGTTTACTCGAAAAAAGAAAAGATAATCAACTATACTACGGTTGCACTACAAAGTTGCGACTTTCGAGCCGGAGCTCCGGGAGTACGTTTACTCGAAAAAGAAAAGAAAAAAACTATACTACGGTTGCACTACAAAGTTGCGACTTTCGAGGGAGTACGTTTACTCGAAAAAAGAAAAGATAAACAACTATACTACGGTTGCACTACAAAGTTGCGACTTTCGAGCCGGAGCTCCGGGAGTACGTTTACTCGGAAAAAGAAAAAGAAAAAACAACTATACTACGGTTGCACTACAAAGTTGCGACTTTCGAGCCGGAGCTCCGGGAGTACGTTTACTCGAAAAAAGAAAAAGAAAAACAACTATACTACGGTTGCACTACAAAGTTGCGACTTTCGAGCCGGAGCTCCGGGAGTACGTTTACTCGAAAAAAGAAAAAGAAAAAACAACTATACTACGGTTGCACTACAAAGTTGCGACTTTCGAGCCGGAGCTCCGGGAGTACGTTTACTCGAAAAAAAAAAAGAACAAAAACTATACTACGGTTGCACTACAAAGTTGCGACTTTCGAGCCCTCGAAAAAAGATAAAGAAAAAAATATACTACGGTTGCACTACAAAGTTGTTACTTGCGAGCTGGAGCTCTGGAAACAGGTGCCCTCTAATGCTAAAACCGGTTTTTCAGGGGGACCGTTGCAGGTATCAACCTACATGCCAACATAAAGGGCTCCCAGAATCGCGGCTGAACATTTCAGAATGTGTCCTTGCTCTCATCTCTTGAGGCAAACATCGTCAAACTGCCTTCGTGTGCACAGTGCAGTACCCATTCCCCTTGGCCATGGCACGTACACTGCTCGCAAAGCTCCTCCGCAGCGGCGCGCTGCGCATTGCTCGGCACGGCTCGCCTGAGTGCCGAAAGGCTGAAAGCTTGTAATTACGCTAAGCTTGGGGCCTAGGATGGGCGGATGGGCGGATGGGCGGATGGGCGGATGGGCGCGGATGTCGCAGTGCTCGCCTTTCTCGAGTCTCGCGTTGCTATCCGTGTGCAAATATGTTGAACTGAGTGACTTCCCTTTAAATTTGATTGGACGTATCAAGCCCTTCCGCGCTTCTGCAAGGGAATTCGCGTGCACGATTTGCTAGTCATGCTGGAAAGAGCAAATGCAACTCTTGAACAAAAAGCTTCTGCGGCTCCAGTGTGGTGCTACTCTTCTGTTGATATGTCCACCTGGTCCACCTGTAGACATTCTTGCTTGAGCGGGGAAAGCCACACCACTCACCTTGAAATGGGCTACTAGACAGTCTTGTACTAAACAATTTCTGTGACACACTCCCCAAGGAGACAGAAACAGATCCAATATGAAAAGAGATTCAGAAAGCGTCTTTGATGGTCAGCTTAGCATTGGGAGCGCACCCCGAACCTCCCACACCGATGCCCTTTGTCCTCCCCATGGCCTGTCATGCCTGTCGTTCTCCGGCTCCGAGATGGCAGCCCGACGCCGGCACAGGCCATGACCCATGGCAGCCGGAAGCTCCAGACCAAAATCTGACCTGTTTCTGCGGAAATGCCATGAGATTTGTCCTCCGAGCATTGGGCTGGTTGACTGGTTCTGGTTGTTTCACATTTCGTCCATCGAAAGGATCGAAGGCCTCAGGCGAGGCTTTCTTGGGCTGACTTGAGGCGCGTTGCAGGCGCAGCCAATGGCTTGCTGGGCCAACACATCTTGCGGCCCTGTCGCTTGTTGGACACCCAGCTGCCGCGCTCACAGACCTTAGCCAAGGCGGATTTGGCACATGACTGCGACGTCACCTAGGAGAAGCCCAGCAAAGACAGAAAGTGATTGTGACTGGCTTGCGACATCCCACCGCAAAGACCCGAAAGACCACCTGGTCTGCCATGGCAACAGCACTTTCAAGTTGGGCCCACTCCTGGGAGGCTGCCTCTTGCCAAATTCATGCACGAGGCCATACAAATGCTCGGTATGCCACATTCCCTTGATGAAAGACTTATCGTGTCAATGTGCCCTGAAAGTGCACCCGGAAAGGGTCGCACCTGACTAGATGCCCTTTTTTTTCCAACGAAATGCCAAGCATATACTTGGTTGGTATGGCTTGGAGACATAGCATTATGAATATCGAGGTGTCCTTGTGTCGTGGGAGTCGTGTGACTCAATGACAACCCTTGTTATGCTTGTCGAAGTCTCCTAAATGTCAAACGCAGGGACGTCTCAAAGGAACTTGAAACTTGAAAGCAGGCATTTAGATTCAGATTTTTGGTTCCCGCCTTTTGTCAGGGCCGCCCCGCTCGCTTCAGCAGGTCCACGGCCGTTTTGCAGTTCCGCACTGTGCCAATTCCGTTCAGGTGCATCACCGCCAGCCTGCAAGCCACTGGCACACGAAACCAATTCGGGGAAGGACATGGTTGAAGCTTTTGAAAACATAGGAACCTAATTAACAACCGAGCCGTCCCTAGGTTCTGCCTTTCAACTATCGGCTGATCCAAAACTGTTGGACAAGTGTTCCCAATCCTCTCACCGAAGAGAACCCTTGCGGCCAAAAAGGAATGGTTCAACAGCCAAAAGATAGCCAGGCAAGGAGACTATCGGTTGATTTCTGGCTTTATCCTTCAACAGCCCGCTGACACACACACTAAGAATCCGACGCGTAGGCTGCTGGGGTGTGTCCGCGATCCAGGGCCTGAGTGTACCTCCCCGACTCGAGCGAAACCGGTCTGTGCAACTCGGGTCACCATCGAGTCCTTGCTTGTTGGAAGTGCGGGGACGTAACAAATATCACAAAGAGGCAAGCGACAAATCACATCCAACAAGAAATGGATCAAACCTTGGGCTCGAACCAAGCTCGAAAATGAGTCGCACTCCATCTCATTGGCGCACCACTGCGCGGCTTTCTGAAAGGACTGATGGGTTCCGCTGCCCGTGAGGTACAGCGATGCCAGGTTGAACCTTGATCAGCTTCACGCTAGCCCGAGCTAGCACAAGCGCAGGTCGAGCATTGTGCGATGCGGTGTGCATCGGGTGAACGAGAAGTAAATCTGGACTCGATAGTCATGGAGTCTCCGAGCGCTCGACATCCCATCAGCGCTGCCCTTGTGGGCAGAATTGTTGAAGTGATGGAAGGCCTCACACGCCGGCTGTGTGTTTCATTTGGCCGGGTGCCTGTAACAAGTTGGACCCCTGAAGTTGATGTGTATCTTCTTTCCCTTTGAAATGGAAAGAGTCACCTTGAATTGAAATCCCACTCTTTTCTTACTTTTCTTCTTTTCTTTGGCTCCAGACAAAGAGCGCACTCAGCGCCCGGCCATGTGGGAGTCCTGAGTGACCTCCTCCGTGCCTTGGAAGAAGATGTAGCCGAGGCCGTTGTGACCTACCCGATCTCTAAACTCGCCGGGCTCGGGTGAAAGCGTTTGCCGGGTGCAATAAACAAAGTCGGCAATGTTTTCTAAAGTTCTAAAATGTTCTAAAGTTCCTGAAGAGCTAAAGTGCCTTGTCTGGAAGTTGTAAAGCGACGATTTCAAGCAGAGCTCAGGAGCTGTGCCTAGCGGGTCATCTCTCTTCGCAGCATCCTTGAAGTATGAAAAGGCGACGTCCTGATACGGGCACATGGCAAACTGTCGCACCCTGCAAAGTTGTGTTTGGCTGCTTTCATAGCCAGAGTGGAATACTGGGCCCCACGCCAAGTCTTTGGAGACCCCCAGGCCCAAGCCTGAACATCTTCGGGCACATGGACTCAGGCTGCCAAGAATGAACATTTCTGAGACTTGAGTTGCAAGCTTCGTGGCCTCACAAATGCCCAAGCCAAATGTGGCTAGGTTTCAAGACCTCCTTTCTGCAGCCGAGCAGCTGTACATGTAGCCTGGGCTGCAACCGCACTCGTCAGGCTCTGGTCTCTCTGTGACACGAATTCGAAACATTCAAGTCCCTCTCGACCTCTCAATGAGTTTTTTTTAGGCGCCACATGGTGGCACTTCTTGGAAACATGGCACCTGAAAAGCCCACAGTCAAGGTCTCGGGAGCTGTTGGGCAGAAGCTGTGAGCTGTGGGGACATTGATTGATTCTAAAGAACAAGAACCACAAAGAACAAGTAACCAAATTTTACATGGAAAGAAACAAGGTCTTGCGCCATGTCTTGCCCCGTAGTCCAACTTTTCCCCGAACCCGCAGCCTCGCAACGCGAAAACTGGCCCAGGAGCCCAAGAGTCCCAGCGCCACCCCGTGTCGCTGCTCGGCCGCGGATTTCAGCAGCTGCAAAGCTCGGCCGAAGTCCTGGGCAAAGCCGTCCTCGGCGCAACGTGACGCGAATGGGCCACGGGGAAACTCATTCCATGGGCCGGGCAATACCCAGAAGGTATCTCTTGCCAACCTCAGTATAGTCAACGCACGCCCCACATCTGCTGGGTGAGCGCCAAAGAGGAGGGACACGCTGTACAAACGGTAGCAACCACGTATTAAAGTATGTTTCAGAGCTCGCCAATCACCCTCGCTAAGTCATTTACTTGCAGGCATGCTGCCACATGGGCATTCGGCCATCTTGCTGGGTCAGCTTCCGCGTTGCACGTGTTGAGAAACAGCCCGAGTTGCCGCTTGCTTGCGGCCGAGGCGCGGCTGACGCCACGCTGGCATCACCGCCTGCGCAAGAAACTTGCGCCGAATGGCCTATGGAAAGGTCCCGACGTTCACTACGCAACCGGATTCGGCAATTCGGTGCAACCAGGCTGTTTACCAAGACCCGACACAAGACAAAGGGCAGCAAGCGACTTTGCAGCAAAGCAACTCGCCGCGATCTCCACAAAAATCGCCATCTCCTAAGCACTGTTGGATTCAAACTTCTTGAACCCCCTGGAACCCTTGCAATTGTGAGTACTCTGGTCCTGTAGTATGTGCTTCATTTTGATGTATGCTTAAGGCCTTGAGTGTCAGAAAGACCTGTGTCGCACACTCTTCATCTCGCTTCGTATAGGATGCGACACACACACACACACACAACACATGTGCGCATTTGCACGGGGGAACACGTGGTGTCTCACACTGCTCCTCTCTCCCGCTGGGCTGCACACTGACAAGCTCATCGCATGTCGATCCTTCTCCACTCCAAGCCTGCCGCATTGGATTCAGGATGCTCCATCAGGTCGATTGTCACTGAGAAACGACAAACCGTGTTGATTCCGTGTTGAGTGTCCCACGAGTCAAGGAGGCCACACTCTGGGATCGCCGTGCAACTCAACATGGTCCCGCAAGCAAAGTTCAAAGGCGCCAATGTTTCCTCTAGGCCCACCTCACCAGCTCAACTGCTTGCGGCATTCCTGTGGAGTAGACCTCTGCCACGCGCCGCGCGACCTCACGTCACCAGAAAGGATTTGGAGCCAAACTGTCAAGCAAGACCCAAACCACCGGCAAACACAAGCAAAGCAAGAGCTCACAACATCATTGCACCAACGCAGCAAGGCAGACATTGTCGCAACAAAGCTCACGCTTCCCACCCCCCTCCTCAATGAAGTTCAGGGCGGCGGTGCTGCAACTCTTGGGCACGGAGAGGCCCTCTTTGTGCCTCTTCAGTCAGATTTGTCGGTTTGCAGGTGAGTGGCCTTGATGGCAAACTTGGGTTACAGCTTGTGTGATTGCACCATGCTTCAACAGTCTTGCTTGGGCCAACAGTCCGGGAGGAAACTCTCTGTGGAAGAACGCCTTCTGCGGAGCTCTGATCTGTCGAATCCATTGAGGTTGCGTCTGAAGGGCTGTCAAAATGTGCGGTTTGATCAGGGTCAAAGCGAGCACTGTCGATGCTTCCATGTTTCGGCCTTGTGAATGCCGTGGCATTGCTTTGTTTAAGTCTTAGGTATGGCAAGGCCACACTTCTGACAAAGACAAGTCAGCTTGTCAAGCATTGCATCCGCATCTGGCTGCGACCCCCGTGCAGGTGCTTGGCAAGCTCTAAACAAGCGTTTTGAAACATGCCGATTTGATCATTGCATTTTCAAATCCCGCCATGCGATGCTGGAAGCTTCCAGTCGCAAGGTACTGAAATGGACCAAGCCATCCTATCTGAACTTGGCTGCGCAAGTAGCGAAAGCTCCTTGAATCCTGCCTGTAGCCCATAGCCTTAAACCGCCGGCAGTCATAGTCTCTACTGTCAAATGACAAGCCCCGCTTGTCAATGCAAGGCACAATATGGCACAACGATATTAATATTGGACAAGACAATCCAATCTTCGTTGGTGATCCAAGGTCTGCACCATCAGCGCACCGTGGTGCTTTGACACGGAGGCCGCATAAAGGTAGAGTACACTCAGCGCCTGTCACTCGCATTTGCTCCACTCGCATGTAGGGCTAGCGCAGAACCACTGCCGTACATGTTTAAATGGAAAGCACGAAGGCAAACATCAAGGGCTCTTGCTGATGGACTGTTCACAGGCTCTGCCACTGTGATGCCCCAAAAATGCTGCGCTTGGCTTGGTAGCACATTATCAGACATTATCACATTTCCCCCAAATGGATGCGAAGAAATGGCCGCAGGCACCGAAACGGTGATATGTGTATATTATGCCACATGACACCATGACAACATAGACTTAATAAAGTTAATGACACCATTTCTGGTGTGCACTGGAGCGTGGCGATTGGTGCACGCTGTCGGCAAACCGTGCTGGAGCTCACGCGCCTCATTTCGCGCCAGCTGCTCGGGATCTTCCTGGTGAATCGCTCGGCACGCAAAAGAACGGCCCAGCCATGGCAAAGTGATCCGAGTCCTCTAGAAGGTTGGAATAGAGGACGCCCAACGCATACTGAGCATCAGGGTCGCCCAAGTCAGCCGCAGCCTGCCATCGTGCAAGCTCGTGGAGCTTCCCTCCACACCTTCCCGCCTGAAAACTTCTGCGGGCAGCCTCAAGGTCCTGCGGCACCTGGCGGAAACCCCGTTGGCGTTTGGCCAAAGGGAAAAAGCAAGTTCCACTTGAGAAACTTCTCCCACACGAAATGTCCTAAGGATTAAGAATGTAAGGATTTTTAAGGGGCTTTCCAGAGGCCCCAAATGCGCCCGGAACCGAACGCCTCGAGGCCTGTGAGCTGGAACTCGCCCAGCAGAGTCTGGCAGGGCGCCTCCTGACAGCCTGACGGACCCCCGGTTTCGGACGGGCTTGGCCCGTACACCGCTGCCATCAGATTGCTTTCAGGATTCCAAAAGGATCCAAAAAGGGATGCTTTCAGGTTGCTATTAGGTTCCAATCAGGTTGATTTCAGGTTGCTATCCGATGTCTCGAATCCCGGGTCCAAAGGATCCCCAGCCCCGAGACTCTCCGTCCCATCCTCTCGCCTTCCAGCAACCGCAGTGCTTTGGCAAAGTCCCCCTGCCGCAGCGCCTTTCGGAACGGGGAAAAAAGCTTCGCTAAAAGCGTGGCGAAGTGTAGCCAAAGCCCAAGGTCTTCGAATTTTCTCAACGGTGCTTGAAGCATTTGGGAACCTTTCTTGATTCACCACTTGTCCCAAACCCAGGTTGCCGTCTTGACATCTTCGCAGCCTGCAAGGCAGGACGAGCAGCACCTGGCAAAGGAATGCGGCGATCCATTCCCGCGCCCGACTCCTGAGTGCCGACTTTCGAAACTGCCCTGTGCTAAAACTGACGCCTGAGGAGATATCCCCCTTGCTGCTAGCTGCGAAAACAACCAGAAACATCGTGCAAAACCATGTTTCTCAGGAGCCTGCGTTTACTCCCCCTCCCTAGCCAGCATCCATGGCGCAACTTGTTTTTCTGAATCCCAAGTGCTGCTTGCCTCGAGTGTCTGGCAAATCATCGGCAGCGTCTGAGGCGAGCAGCATGACTCGTCGTGCAAAGTGCTGCATTCCAATAGGAATCCTTTCAAGATGCATAACTCATGAACAGACACATTATGAAAATCGTGACCAAAACGCTGCTGTGCATCTTCAAGAGTTGCAACGGTTCCTAAGTGGATGCATTCGCCAGAACAAAGGGACGGGTGAGAAGTCGCTTGAACTTCATGAACTGCACTCGTGTCTCAGGACTTCTGGCCTTGCACGTCTCGTGTCGTCCGCACGCCCACAAGGTAGAGCACTCCCAACTGGCAAAAGCACAGCAGGAAGTTGGCAACATATTTCAACGTCCAATGTCCAGAGGGCTCACGCAAAAGACCTGGCCTTGGCAGCGAAAAAGAAAAGCACAGTCACCAGCACCGTTGCCTCAAGCCAGACAACACTCCCCCGCTAGATTGACTCCACTGCGCACTCCGAATCCAATCCATTGGCAGTGAAATTCTATTCGCAGAGTGCTGACCTCAGCGGCTGTACGCCACTCAAAAACAGCGCAAAAGGATGGGCGGAATGCTGCTGCTACTGTCTTAGACAGAGCTTACCTAACATTCTTGCCTAGTTTACGTAGGAATATGACGCATGTAGCTTTTGAAGCGACAAAGGCTTGTGAGGGCTGCGCAGCAGCCAGAAAAATGTTTTTCTTCGACCACAGGGCGGACAGCGCGGCCTTCCGCCGCCCGCCGGCGCTCGCTGCCCCGAACCAGCAGGCGCAAGGCTGACAAGACTTGCGGACCCCCAACTTGCCCAAGCCGCCGCGAGGTGTGACTTCGGCAACATTTCCGTAGTTTTCCAGCAGCACAGCAGTGCCTCCATGATGCTGGTTTCTCCGAGGTGTTGCACCCTATGGTTCAACAAGCGTTGAGACGTCGTTGCCGCAGCATGCCAGCATCTCTCTTGCTGTCCTCCTTATGGCCATGGGGCTTATGTGACTCTTCTCCCAATGGTCCCAACAAAGGTTTGCGCGGGTCAAATCAATCACCAACTCATCGACCATCTCAGCTAGAAGCGCCGGCAGCACCGCCAGCATGCTTTGCACCACTTGTGCCACTTCTGTCCCAGTTCATCCGAATCCTGGGTGTAAAGCAGCGAAGATCTGCCTCGGGGACCATCTCGCTGAGCTGGCAAAGGCGTATGAGGGCCCGCCTTCGGAGGGCCCACCCCAAACCAGGTGACCAAGCGCGCTGAAAAGTATCTTGCAAGCACAGGATCCGTGGCTGCTCGCTGCCAATGTGAAAGGTGATACTTAGAACAGATGTGAAGCATCCTTTGGCATCATCATCATCATCATCATCATCATCATCAGGACCAGCAAAACTCTCTGTGCAAATCCCGACCCTGAAGCTGCTCCAATATCAACCAGACAGGTTTCTTCCTTTTCTGCCTACTGGGGATATACTTCAATCCTCGTATTGCCACCTCCCGAACTTCCCACGCATGGCTTTTCAAACCCCGAAGCAAGGCATTCTCCAACTCCTCGCATTCCTCGCGTTCCTCGCATTCCTCGCGTTCGTCGCTATGCACGCCTCGAGAACCAAAGCAGCCCCCCCAAGTTCTTGCGAAGCTTCCTGTCGCAAGCCGCAAGGCCCGAGCCACGGGCTCGCAGGGCTCGCAGGGCTCGCAGGGCTCGCAGGGCTCGCAGGGCTCTGAGGCCAGGGCGCGCTGGGCGCTCGCCACGCCGTCCAGCGACAGACGGCTGATGCTCATCGTGAGTTGCTGCAGTGCTTCCGGCAACGTGCTGACGTGCTCCAAAACTTGGCTGTCTTCCAAGATCTGTCCATCCATGACACATTGGATGGGCAAGCTGGACATGTCTGCGATCTTGCGCTTCAGATGAAGCACCGCACAGTACTTTGAGCGTCCAAGTCTCAGCTTCATCCTCTGCCATTTCTTCAGCTACTAGCTGCGGCTTAAACGCCCTTTCCCTTTGAGCCGCACAAACAAAACATGAACAAGGCTGAAGCTGCACAAATAGGCCGAGTTGCACAGAAGCAAATGGCCCGCATCATGGGCTAACTCGCAGGCGATTGTGTAAGGATTATTGGGATTTGCTCAGGAGCTGCAGGGGTGAGTGCTGGTCGGGCGCCTGCCCGGCGTGGGATTTGATGGCTGCGCTCAGCTACTGTTGGTGAGTGGTTGTCACCTGGAAAGTGGTTGTGCGATTGGAGACATTTGTCAGGTGCTCAGCCCGTCGGACTCAAATGGGTTTCAGCCGTTATGCCTGGCGAATCGGGTCGGAGACTCAAAGTCTTCAATGCTACACCCTGAAGTTGTCTCTGCTGTGCTGGCCTGCTAGGTACAGGAAGCTGAGCAATTCAACGTGCCGGCGGTGCAAGCAATGCTACAAGCAAGTGACTGATTGCAACCAAGGTCGGAAGGCAGCATGTGGTTGGCATTCATGTGTCGTGTCTCAGCGTCTGATCTGAGTGTCAACAAATGGAGGTTTGGGCAGGCGCAAGGATGGGCCGAACCTTCTTCTGAGCCTCCTCCAAGGAATTGGACAAAAGGCCCGACCTGGACAAGTGATCAGCACAAGTGAGTCAGACACTTCACGCCGATGAGCCCAACACCAAGGCAGCAACTTTGGGTGGGAATGCCCCAAGCCAAGCAACTATTCCTCGCAATTACACGCGCAGGTTGCAAGTTGGGCTCAAGTGCAGGGTTGCAATCTAGCATAATTTAGCTGCTTTGCCCAAATTGCGGGGTCGAAGTCTACTTGACATCCGGAGCACTGTCCCATCTCTGTGGGGTTCCTGGGCTTGGAACTCCAAGGGCACATCGTCAGATTGGCTCAAACTCATCATGCCTGGCAAGTCTCTGCTCTCCGAGTGGCCAAATTGTTTGAGTCCTTTTGCATTCACGGTACAGTGCCACAACGTATTGTAGATTCATAAAATGGGCCAAACCTCCAGCCTGTTCGGCCAACTTAAGCTCAAAATGGATGAGAGCCTTGAAATCAACTCTAGCTTGGCTGGCTCATCATCTGCTTGATGTTGTCACCTGCACGGCATACGCAACTCACTCTGAATGGCAGTCACTGAACAATCGCTTCAAGCTAGCTTCAATCCATTTAAAAAGGCAGCAACATCCTCACGCGAACCTACGGCAAAATCTCAGCCACATTGCAGAACTTTCAACGTGTGTCCCCGTCTCAGCACTGCCAGTACCCGGGTGCGAGCCTCCAAAGATGCGGAAAATTGTGTCGTTTAAACCTCCAAGGATCAGCAGTGGACTGGCAGCTTCTCTGGACTCAGCCTATGTGCGCAGCTTTACTGGGAACATCTGGGAACTTGCGCAATCTTGCGCAATCTTACATCCCAATGGGCGTATGAATTCATTCGTCACGTTCGTCATACGCGCATTATGCGCCGAACCTGAAAGCGGATTGGAGCTGGTGCAGCCGATGCCCTCTGTGGCCCGTGCTGAGAAAGAAGCGCGTAGCTCCCGGGTCGCCTTGTCGTGCCTGAGTTCGCGCGAGTCATTTCGCATCAGGCTGGAAGGCGCATGCGGATCCCGAGGATCAAATCGGTCCGGGCAGCCCGGCGCACCGGCCACGCAGCTGGTTGTCGATGCGCCGGGACTCGTGGCGCTCCGTGCCCAGCACCTCAGATGTCACGTCACGCAAAACGATCCTTCGAAACCGCGAAATCAAATCGGAAGGCAGGCTCCTTTTTCGATGGTTCGAGCGCGCTTCTCAATAAATGGGGCGGCACGTCTGTTCAAAGAAAGCACAAAGTTGACGCTAGATACCAAGAAAATGACGCGGCTACGAATTTACTGAGACTGCAGTCGAACATACAGCACGATCTCTGCTGTGGGCCAATGGATATTGACCGTGCTGATCGAATTCGATGCTGTCGAGTGTTGGGATTGCGATGGCCAAGCCGCCCACTTGGGCTTTGAGTGGAAGGTTGCGGCAGCAGGATTGTGTGGCGGTGTCGGAATGTACATGTCGTGCTGGTTGTGATAGCAACTGCTTTTCGACGTCAGGAAGCTGTCACAACAAGAGTGATTAAAGTGCTACTAATTGCTGTGCGAAAGACATGGTGTTTGTTGCTTCTCTGTTGGACTTGGGCTCAGTGTCTTGGCCCTTGCTTGTCCCTTGTTGAAAGAGGCCCTAGAGATTCTGAGGGTCAATGCACCAACTGAGGCCACTGGGGAGCCAGCCAGAAGGCCACCAAGTGCCCGAACCTCCTCCTTCTCCAGGTCAGTGATCTCGAAAGCCGGCAATCCGCGAATCCGCGAGCAGCAGATTTCGCTGTTTCACATCTTGCCTTATGATCCAATGAGTCAAAATAAGATGGATGAAATCCGACAAAGCCGGGCCACCAAAGGGCCCGCAAAGCTATTCTCAGTGACCGAATCTGGCTTGGAGTATGCCGCTCAGACAAAGCCGAAAAAAACATGGCTAAAGCACAACCAGCTTGATTGCCGGATCCTGCCTGCTTGTAGTGCGCAGCCAAAGCCTTGTATGCCTCTCGCAGCTGCAAGATCGCCTGGACTTGATGAAAGCCCCCTCGGCTGGAAGACTTGAGAAGGCGGGCGTGCAGCGCTGCATAGCGCTGCATTTGTGTGGCAAGTTGATCACAGGCCTCGTCTTCCGTGGGCGCCTTCTCACAGGCCAAGGACAAGCGCTCCTGTCGCACATGCGGCCGGGTTGCCTGTCAATCTGTCGATCAATCCTTTTAGCATCTCCGGTTTGCGGTTTGCGCACCAGAACTAGGTGAACCCTTTCGGTGCCTCTGCCTCCAGCTCGGTCAGCTTGCCCTGTTCAGCGAGCAATGCAGTCACCATCAAATGGTTGGGGCCTGCCCTCCAAAACATGGTTTAGATGTTCGAGTCTGGGCCATTTGTGGACATGTCACTGTCCATAGTTGTGTGAGACCGTCAACCAAGAGAAAGACACTTGAGCGGTGCCCACGGTTTCGCGGGCTTGTGCTTTCTATCGCTCACGTGCGCAACGCGTTTGCGGCGCTTCTGCCATGTCCATTAGCTATGTTAACTACCAAACTCTTCGCAGCTCCGGCTTTAACATCACAACTTTAAGTACGAAAGAAGCACATGAAGTGCACTTTGACGGCTCCGGCTCGAAAGCTGACTCTTCCTTCCAGTACGAGCCGCTGACACCCAGCTTACGCCAGGAAACTGGCAACGACAATGATTACACGCCCAAGCGCGCTTGCAGGCTTAGGCGAAGCGGGCCTTCGTGCTCTTGCAGGCCATTTACTCAAACTTAAATGAATCGAACAGGTACAGTGCTGTGCAAAGAAAGACAGAGTACAACAAAGAAAGAGAAAAAGAAAGAAACAAACAAAGAAAGAAAGAAAGGAAAACATACATAAAGAACAAACTGAAGACACCAATTGTTCAACAGAAAGGAAGCACGGACAAACAAGCAAGCGAGCAAGCGAGCAAGCAAAGCAAAGCAAGCAACTGAACAAACAAACAGCTAAAGGGCACAGCTTCTGTGCAAGCGGGTGCAACCATGAGGTGCTGCCCCCCTTCCTTTCTCGTGTATGTGCGGTCAGTGGCTGAGCATCCCTGAAACAGCCGCCAAGTGTTTATTCGCAGCTAGAGCCCGTATATACCAACCATGACCATATTCACAAACATTGACAGGGAGCCGGTATCATGGCTTGCGGCACGCCAACTTGCGATACAGGACTAGGGCTTAGCCGCTCAGTGGCTCATTTCATGCACAGGGCGGTCTGCTCTCCGCCTGGGAGACAATCTGCTCTGCTGCTTCCAGCGAGGTAGGCTTCAGCTTCAGCTCTTCAGGAGTCCAGGCCTACGCAAACACGTCTGGTCCGTCAGAAAGAGCCATCAGTGAAAGTGCTCATATCCTCATAGGGAGACATCTTCCATCCTACCCTTTCAATCTCGCCCCTTTGCTCGCAGTCTGGAAAGCCGAAAACCGATGGCATGCCTCCACCGTTTGTGCCACGGCATCACTCACCTGCGCGCTCTCTGATTCAAACCTTCCGCGCGCCAAACCCATCCAGCCGCAACCTATTGCGGCGCCTGGACCTGTCCTGAAATTGATATTCCCTGGTCACCCGAATTGATCTGCTTGGGATGCCATTACACTATCAAAGTCTTTTTAGATGTGAGAGCAAGCAGCTCCCACAACGAGAGGAAGCCACATCTCGGCCTGCTTCTCCAGCGGTGCTGTGAGGTCCACTGGGTAAAATTCCTCAGGCATGGCCTCAAGTGATGCATCTTGTAAACTCGTAAACTCAACAATCTTTGACATCCCAGCTACATGCATTCACTTCAAGCCCGGAAATGCGAGCAGATCTGGGTGCATGGCCCAAGACTTCTTCGGGAACAGCTTGGCATAGAGCTCCTGCAAGTGCGATGGAGAGCAGAGCACGCGGATAGCACGCGGCAAGCCCGGCCTCCCGAAGCCGCAGCCGGGCCATCATAGAGGGATTGCCGCCGAGCAAGATGTCGGTGCCTCAAAGTGACGCAAAGGCTCGACGCAAAGGCTCGACGCAAAGGAATCCTCTCAAATTCGTTACTCTCGATTCCAGGATGCCCCATGCCCGCCTCGCCCTGCCATGTTGGTTGCAATGGTCACAGCCTTTGCAGGAACATGAAGCACTGGTTTCGCAACACTTGCAACGCCTATCGGACCGCACACTGACAGCACACATGTCGCACACGCGTGAAGCAAACGTGTCAGCCGGAAAAGAACTGCCCAGATCGAGCTCTCGCTCTCGAGTCTCACGCATACTTGCGGCCGCTGGAGGCCACAATCTCAGTCTCTCGTGCCACGTTCTCAGGCTTGGCGTTGAGCAGTTGATATGCCCTGGCCAAACACCACCCAGCACGAGTCGCCTTTGAGCTGGTGGTCTTGTTTTCTCGCCTTTCCCAGCCACGCCAGCAGCTAGCATCAGCCCAAACAACAGATGTGGGCAATGCTCAAAATCTAACTACGTCATCAACAACTTGTTTTATGCAACATTCATTGAACCAGAACAGCACAACACACACACACATGAGGAGAGGAAGACGAGAACCTTCGAGTCTGACAGGCGCTCAATCAAACATGGCCAGGCGTACACGCCCAAGGCATCCAACAGCTCAGCAATGATCTCGGAATTCTCCACCTTAGGTCAGGTAATTTCCTACAGCCACTCGAAACCATGTTACAAAGCTTGTCATGCTTCTTTTCGCAACTTGGAGAAGTTGGAGCGGGGAAACCCTTTGTCAGTGAGAACACATACACCAGGAATCTATGGCTGGGCGCGTTGGTGGTTCCGATCAGCACCGGCCGGCCAATACGATGCGCGTTCTCCACCTCCCTCGCCACTGCCTGGCTGCGAGATGCGCTCAACAAAACCTGTTCCAGGTCGTGTCATCCTGATATTAATGTGTTTGTTTGAGCATTCCGGCGCCTTCCGCACATTATTTTCGTGGGGAGGTGAACTGCAACGGAAAATGACAGGTGTGCAATCAATAGGAAACCCATCCTTGCTTCGGGATTGACACTGTCCGGAGCTTGGATCCGTTTGGATTTGCTCCCGCGGATTCAACGAGCTGCTTGGGTACCTCAACATCGCTTGAGCCATTTGGTGGCGCTTGGCCTGGGTCCTGTCCCAGCCGGCCTTCCACTTGCCGATGTCGTCCACATAAACCTGTGAGAAGCCGCAAGCCCGAAACGAATGACCGCAACTCAAGCACAGCTGCCATAGATTGACATAGTACGCATAGTAGAATGATGTAGAATGTGGTGGCAGTTTGCAAATCTACCCGTCTCGCATCATGACAATACATTGAGACATGCCAGTGTGCTTCTGCTCTAGCCCTGTTCAGGCCTGGTCATCCTTGTCCTCACGCTTCCTGCAAGCGTGCAGCCGTCTTCACATACCAAATACTACTATATATTGAGTGCCCACGGAGGATAACGCAATCACACCTAGCATCTCTTTCATCTCTTTCATCTGTTTCTCATCCGCAGTGCTCAGGCCTCGTGAGATTCGGCGGAACCACCACCTCAGAAGGCGATGTGATCTTCGGCCAGGCAGAGCTTCACATCGCAGTACTATGCATTCCTACTGTATGCATTTCTTTAAGCATATTGCATGTTTGACTTTTGCGCATTTTGTGCATTCTTGCATTCTTGCTCGTTTGGTTGCTGTTCGAGCGTCTGTTTTCAGTTTGTAGACCTCCTCGAACTCCTTGGCTTCGGTGAAGGCGGTGCCCGTCATGCCGCTGAGCCTTGTGCAAAGAGCAAGTCGCAACCAGGCCGACCGGATCCTACCGGATCCTACTGCCCTACCAAATTTGAACTGCTTTGGTTCAAAAGGGAATGGTGACGCCAACTGCGTCTTAGCACCGGTGCGAGCGGTGCGAGCGCACAAGCGTCCGAAGGCATGTGAAGCCAGGAGGCTTGTCGAACAAGCGGAAGAGGCTTTGATAGGAAATGCCTCGGATCACCCTTTGCCACTCGGATGGGCCAACTCCGAATCTGCAATTTCTCAGCAACGCTGTTGATGCGCACAGCCTTGTGGGCATGTAACATGGAAACACCTCCGTGCACGGCAGGCCACCGCTGGCCTTTGGCTCTCAGCGGTGTCCGGCTTTTCATGACACCAACATCATGGTACATCATGTTACATCGTCTTACATCGTCTTACATCGTCTTACATATCGTTGTTCCTCGGCACTGAGCACAAGGTTCCGGGTGCCACACTGGCCAAAGTCACCGACTCCGCTTGGATCTGCACATTCTCCTTTGCTTCAATGGCCTGGCCGGCTCCCTGGTCTGATTGCGGAACGCTTGGTCACATTCTTGACACGCGCCATGTCACTCAGGCACCAAACTCAAAAATGATCCAATCGTATCCGCATCGTCTAGTGGACTAACCTCCCCCCTCGTTGATTATCCATGCACCATTTGTCCACTTCACCACGCGGCATCGGATGTCTGTCACTTGGCTTCGCTTTTCTGGCTTCCGCCTGGTGAAGGCCGTTGCTCCACCGGCGGCCTTCCATGACGCGGCCCGTAAACTCGTCCACGATCCTAAGTGGGATCCCGGAGCCAGGTCGCGTGTGAAAGTCTCTGACCCAAAATGCCCATGAATGACCCTCACAAGCTGGAATATCCTTGACCCAAGAGGATGTGAGCAACCTTAAACTAGGACTCCCTTGGGGGGATGAAAAGAGGTATCATGGTGTGAGTTTGCTTTCCTGGCTAGGCATCTGGTTGGCCGATGGGATTGTCGTTCGGGGCCAGTTGACCACCTGTTCGCATCTGGCGTGGTGATGCTTCATGCCAGGCGTCTGGACTTCCCCTCGCTTGACAATGTAGGCCTTGCAAACACTCCGGCCATAGCAGGTCGAACTGGCGGACAACGAGATAAAGCTCTGTATAAGTATAAGGTCTAGACACCTAGACCCCTCCAGTAGAATCAGTAGACATCTCCCACAGAATACAATATCGGTCCCACTCAACGTCAACAGAACTTTCACATGATCGACCCGATCTGGGCAAAATAAGCTTCTTTCTGGGCTTGCTGACTCCCCTTTGCGCGGCCTTGTGTGGCGGCTTGCCACTGCAAACGCGCCTTGTCCTTGATATACAGCTCTTTGGCGTTCAGGGCATTGGTAACGAAAGGAAACCAAGGGTCCTGCAAAGTCCCCGCGACCCTCACATGCCCGCGCCATTCCAACACTTGAGGCTTTCAAGTAGTTACTCCAGCTTGAAACCTCAGAACATCTTGCATGGGTTGCACGGCTCAATCATGGATTTCCCTGTCATTTCAGAATGGACTCTCGTCGCTGAGCAAGATGATTCATGAGTCAGTCCTCCGGATCAAAAAGGTCGTCCTTTCCCAGCAGCTTTTCGGCCGCATCCACACCGCCCTGGATTGCAAAACATCTTAGCTCTGGCACCTGTGACGCTGAGCATCAAGTTGGACTTCCCTTGAGGTCGCAAATCGGTTACAGTTGATCGCCTTGGTCATCCTGAACCGATCAACTGATCCCCGATTGATCCGCCGGACTGTATGCTTCACTCGTCTGTTGAAGCATCCCGAAGCGTTCCGCGCCTCAATGAGCACGCACTGCCGCTGCTTCTCATCTACCGTGTAATGCACCTCAGCGAAGCGATTCGGGCTACGGGGGATTCAGGCGACTCAGGTGATTGTTTTCGGGAGGCCCCTATTGCATATCTTGCACTGTGTTTGCAATGAACTTGAGGAAAACTGCTGAAGGCAAGTACGTGCGCTGAATGCTTGCAGAAGAAGCGACTCGCCTCCTTGCGCAAAGCTTTTACCACCTCATTCGCAACCTAAGCTGTTGGGCATTCATGTTGACTGCCACTACTTGCCACTACTGAAAAGCAGTGACAGTTTCCGAACACTCTTGTCATCGTTCCACGTTGCTTGCCTGCCTTGTACTTGGTGGGTGTGTTGTCGGCCACGCCGGAGATGATGAGGGGGGTTCTGGCCTTCCCCGCATGGTGTGGCCCAGGCTACACGACCCAGCCCAGGCCTCGTCGATGAGGATAGAATCCACCTGCGAAGTGCAGCTCTATGACGGCCAATGGAGTGAGAATCAGTCAGTCAGAATCAGATTCGTTAAACTACGCATCGATCGTGCCCTTCGGGGCCTCGTCCACCACTGCGAAGTTGAAGGGGGACTTCTCCCGCAAGGCAAGCTCGGATGGGGAAGGGGCCATCTGATCTCGCAGGTAGTCGAAGCCCAGCTCACCTTGGACATGCACCGCCCGGACATGTTTGAAGAACGCAAAGCTTGGAAAACGCAAAGCCAAATGGAGATCGCCAGGCGACTGTTGGTGACGTAGGTGACATCGGATCGGTAGGCCTTCTTCTTCTGATCCGGCGCCATGCCGTTCCTGGCCCATGCGAGTTGCTCCCAGAGTGCATTCCCAACACACTCGACTGCTGGTTCCCCTCGTTTATCCGCCAAAAGCCCAAAATGATGTGCAAGGCGACAGAAAAGCAAAAGGTGCGGCCAAAGGCTCTGCACCACCCCCACGGTCATCCCAAGGAACCGCAGCGGCTGACCCACCCATTCCGCGTCACGGCGTGCAAGGTAGTCGTTCACCGTCACCACATGCACGCCCTGACCAAAGGACTCAACGGCCCAAACTCCAAATGTATTTTTGGCCAGGATTTCTGGGATGTCTCGCCAAGCCGGGAAGGAAACACATTCCTCGCTTGGCTTCACCGGCTGGTTTCGCAAAGCAGAGCAATCAACACCAATATCATTGCAATGAAAATCCTCCGTCCCAGCCTTGCCCGTGAGGGCATTCAAAAAGGCGGCGAGGATGGCAACCAAGGTCTTGCCCTGACAGTTTTTGTTTGCTCCCTTCGTATTTTGTTGGGTTGTGAACACGCAGGTTTCAAATGTGAAGACACGCATGCTATGCATATAAAATACTGGGACAGAGAGATAGAAAGATAGGGTGGAGAATACTAGTAGTTGGTGGTTCATTAGATAGATACCCATATATGCCTCTGAGAACATCCGTGAAGAGACGCGCGCGCGCTGGCACATCCTCGTGCAAAGCGCATTGTAGGACAAAGGATATTGACCCACAAAGAAGTCAAGATGCAGGGATGGAGGTAGATAAACAACAAAAACAGCCTCAATCAGTTGCTGCGCAGTGTCTTTGCTGACACGGTCAAGAGACGCAAGGTACTGCGCAAGCGTATCAGACGCACGGCTCGAGCTCACATGGCTGATCGGCTTCGACAATGTGAATGTATTCCTAAATGTATTCCTCAATGTATTCCTCTTCTGTTGGCTTCCGTGCCGTCAAGTTGATGTAATGTATTCTTGCCTGATGCCATTCAGAAAGGGCTAGAGTCTAGAGACAAGGCGAACGCAGGTACGCGGCTCAGAGCCAACCACTCAGGCAACAAAGCCCTTGCAGCCTCTGCCGGTTCAGAAAGCACTTCTGCTTTTTTGCTTGTCTCGACTCAAAGGACTCAGGGAAGGCATCGCAGAACTTAAGTGCAGCCCCCATCCTCAGCCGAAAGCAGCCAGAAACTGCTAATGACCGTGACAAGACTATCAATCAGCACGCTGAGCTGGATGTGTTTCTTCCAAGGCCAACACGCAAAACTGCAAAGCAATAGCAACTTACCACGCAACGTGCAAACGCTAGCCTGACAACAGCATGTTGAGCATAGACGCTGTGATCCTTGCTGTAACAGGTGTTTCATGGGACGAAAAGCTTCAAGACACCGAATCGCACGCGTCGACTCAACCCCAGGATTCTGCAACACCCCTTTGTTCTTGCATTGGCAACACCGCACCCAGAGAAAGCAGAACCACAAAGCAGAACACCACGACACCGCAAACACCACAGGCGGGGGGGGGGGGAGGGTTGTGCTTGTCTGACCCATAAGCATTACGGGGGTGGGAGGGGGCTGGCAACTCTCTATATTATATGTGCAGAATTCATGTATATCACCTGGTAAAGCACGTGCATTGCATGTCTGTCAACATACACATGTGTACACGTATTAGTACGCACAACATCATATGTCCTACTAACAATATCTCTGTATTCATCTTGTGCACATTACATCATGGTGGTTGACATGCCTCATAAATATAACTAAGTTTAGTTCGTCAATGAACCAAACAACATACACAACTGCATAAGCTCTGCTGTTCTGCTTGTCATTTCCTTACTCGGTCTGGTTCTTCAAGAATCAGGTGCGGGTCCCTAGGCCTCACCAGTGCCCATCTCTGCGATGTTGCCCTCATGCAGGGCGATACCTGGCAGATGCTTCTAAGCTGCTCTGTATACTCGCCAATGTCGCGTGATTTTTGCTGTGCAAACTTTCGTTAGCTTACTCTGTGGTTGTGTGATCCATGTTTTCGCTTACATGGTCAACGGAAGAACTTATGCCATCCGTACACACATTGGTGTTTTTGTGTGCTTCCCCAGGGCCTGGCTTAACACTTTCAGCTCCACGCCTCCCATGAGCTGCACGTCAAAGTGTCGCAGCCCAAGCACCCGCGCAGAGGCCTGGGTCGAAATTGGAACCAACTCTATTGCCCTCATTCCTCTCTAAAAGTTAAAGCCGTCAGTGGGTAGCTTGCAAGGACAGATTTGCGTAACTACCGAAACTCACAGAGCCAGGCCCTAAGCCACCAAACCACCAAACCACCAAACCACCAGCTTACCGCCGAAATCCGCCGAACCGAGCACGCCTCCCGCACCACGGCGAAGGCCTCCGGCAGCAGCTCGTCCAACGAGGCGCCCTCCTGGGCGCGCTTTTGCAGGTCCACCGTGGAGGCGCCTCGAGTCAGCCAGTCGGCCAGTCGGCCAGTCGGCCAGTCGGCCAGTCGGCCGGAAAGAGGACACGAGGGAGATCTTGTGATATCTAAGAGATTTCTCCCATGACATCACATCACCACTTCAGGCGAAGAAAGCAGCTAGGAAGAACCGGATTCGCACTAACTGACTGGCAAGTTCAGTGTGGAAACGGTTTGTGGAAATTTGAAATAGCTTGGCATGCTGGGTAACGATTGAAACGTTGAGCAATGACTGGAGTCCAGCCGTAGGCCCCTGCCACGACAAGCAGCCGCTGAAGCGGATGTTTCATGCTAAAGGTTTGCTCGTAAACGTAGATTGTCACTTGTGCCACGACCTTGTGCGAAAGATGGTCACGGTTCCTGCAACCGTTGCTGCAACAGCGGTTGCTATCAAAGATAGTGACATGCGAAGTAGGCTTGTTCAACTCAAAGATGCAACCCTAGACTGTGACTATGGCTCACTTGAGAACTTGGCCATTCAGGCTAGGTTCGAGAATTTGACGAACATTCAAACTGGGTCTCACTCCAACTCTTCTCTGAGACCGCCTTCCTTGGGAAGGCACATGTTGCACAAAGCAGGCATGCTCTGATGCATAACTGTTACTGGCATAATTGCACCTGCGCTTCCCATGCCAAAGCACGAAGATCATCATCAGACTTTGCCCTCATGTCGCTCTCCAGTGCGTTGATGGCCTGCGGCCGACGTTGCCTTCCTCGACGAGATCACAAAAGAAACAGGCAAGTCTTGTGAAAAGGGCACGACACAAGACCACGGCGCGACTCTCTGGGTCTGTCGCTCAAGATCCCTGTCTCATGTTGCAAGTCATTTTTGAAGCCCGCCTCTACTTGAGGCTCATATCGCTTTTGCGTCTGCTTCTCAGGAGACTCGTAAAACCTGGCATGTGCATGTGTGCATGCCACCAAGAGCATCCTAAATTCGGATCGTGTGATCCAAACTTCCTGGATCTCTGATGGCAACTTGCTTCCCGCTGCATTTCTTCACTTCACGCCAGGCGACGGGTTCAGCTGCTCCATGTTCCCGAAGAGCCGCCGCGGCATGCGCGGCGCGCGCGGCGCTCGAGCGCGGCGGCGCGCGGCCATCAGGGCGCCAGCACCTCAGGTGACTCGCCAAGTTCTGTCAAGCTACCAATTTCTCGCCTGCCAAAAGATGAAACTGATGAAACTAAAAAACTCATGAAACTGATGAATATCACTTGTGCATGAGGAAAGACCTTGCGTCTTCTAGGAATCTAATGGGTCAGACTGGCACTTATTTGGTCTGCCGTCCAAGTCGCCCATGGCAAGCTTGACAGCATCGCCTGCGACTCGGGCATCGGGCCACGGCACGTTTTAGTTCGACTGGCATGACGAAAGCATTGGTCCGGTATGAACCCGTTTGAAACTAAACTTTCAAGAAACCAATATGCTTCGAGGACCCATTTTTTAAGTATCCTTGTATGACTGCTCACTCAAGACCGGGCAAGCACATCTCCAAAGCGGCATCCCAAAACGTGCACTGAGATCAAAATTACAGGAAACACAACTTCTTTGTTCCGTCGCTGTCACACCATGGTCACAAGTGATAAGAACACCTGCTCCACTGCTTGCCAAAGGTGACAACCATCAACATTCTAATAACCCCCGTTGAACATCAACTGCCTGTGGCAAGGGTGCATAGCGGTCATTCAGAATGATATCTCCCATTCAACTGCTCTGTTCGCTCAACATGCATCGCCAGAAAGCCGCCAAGGCCAGCAGCTCAGCTTCTGCTTCGTCCGCTCAAGTGTGCGGATGAGAAAATCACACGTCGTAGATCCCGGCCTTCACCCAGCCGCTCCTCGCGGAGGCTGGCCTGGGCTTGACTTCAGATTCATTTATCAGATTCCGCCCGAAAGCGCGCGAGCGTTCCACCTGCCTTGTGGTGCTCTCTTTGCGCCGTGCACTTCGGCAGGTTCGGCGCCCCAGCCTTCCAGCGAATCCGAAGCGACTCCGACGTACCCAAGATCATTTCGGGCGACAGGCAAGTATAAGCAACACTCAATGAAACGAGTAGCGATTCGCGTGGCCCAGTGTTGCTAGCAGGTTTGCGAACGTAAGTAAGTGTGCTTTCATGATTCCAGCTCCCAGGGTCATCTCAGAAGGGCCACGGACTGCAAATCACACTTTTAGCATTACGCGGCACCATCATGCAGTGAATCAAGACAGTCCTGGAGGCCGGTCAGCGCTTGCCGAATGGTGACATTTGGCGCCGATCGTCCGAAAGAGCTTCCATGAGACACGACATCATGTATTTAGCGAAAGCTCCGTGATAGACCTCTCGTGGCGAAAGTCTTGTGGAAGGGGAACGTCTTGGCTTTGGTGAAGGACCCCGCCAGCTTTGCTAACATGCGGGCACAAACACAAGATGTTCGATCTCCTACAATAATGGAGGTTCAGTGCTTAGAAGCTGACCTTTGTACTTGATCGGAAAAAAAGAACTGCCTCACGACAGAGAGGCACGGCTCGCAAAGGGCATGGTCTTGTCTGCCAAGAAATGTGAACTCCAGAACGGGAACTTTCAAAACGGTTCTTCCAGTCCTTCCCGTCCCTGCCTTCGGGCCCAAAACAGGCTGGCACTCCATCGCATTAACCGGCGACCGACCCTAAAAAAGTGAGCCAATCTGCACCGGAATAGGGCGCCAGGCTGCGATTTCTTTCGGTGAACAAATTGGAGGGCAGTCATGTGTCCCAAAAAGGCTTGGCAAACTCTCAGCGAACTTGCTTATCTTTGTATGCACCACGTCTGTGCTGCGCACTCTTTTCCTGGCACCAAACATATCATGTGTCTACGCTCAAGCCAAGCTTCCTGTCATCAGGAGCGGCCGGGCCATCCGATTCAGTGATAAAGTCGGGTCTAGGAACACCTCCTGGACGCCTGGACACCTGAGGGTTAAACATTGTGACTTTCGGAGTCAGGCCCCTCAGGCCACAAATCAGAAAGACTAATCTTTCGGCTGGGCCTGCTGGTGAAAGCACCACTGGGTGCCTGGAAATCGGCACAGGCCCCAGCGAGTTCTCCATCCAGCTGCCAGAGGTATGTAAAACTATATCTGACGGAACAGCTTTGTACTGCAGACTTCACAGACTTCACTAGATCGCCTCTTTCCAAAATCTTGCCGACTTGTCATGCGACGCAGAGACCTCAGCTCACAGGACACCCGGCTCATGGTTTCCTCTCCGAGAGTTTTTGACGTGGTCATGCAGAAAGACATGATCCATTGTACAAACGGTTGTCCGAGCCGTGGCCCCCGCCAGCAGCTTGGCGTTGGTCCTTGCGTCGCAGCCCCAGGCTACGTCAAACACACAGTCGGTGTGGCCGCCTCAAAGCTCGAGTCGCTGAACACTCACCCGAATTCTGATGCAAATGCACCAACGGTCTCCAAACTTGGCGCACCATGCCCAAAATCCCCAAAAACAAATGCAAAGTCATCAAGGCGCTGCTTGATGATAAAGCTTGAACTTGATACGACAATCCTTTCCTTTCGTTTTCCTCGATGATCAGCCTTCGACTTCCTGACATCCTTTCGAAATCCACTTGGGTTGGCCAAAACTCGGCAAACCCAAGATTCTCCCATGCCAATGCGAAAGCCACATGCGAGGATATTCCCAGGCGCCGGGCCGAGCTTCTGCAGCATAGTAGGCTTGTTTTGGGCAAAGCCCGAGTAAACAACGACGCTCCTGCCGCGTGCAGTTCAGGAATGGGACGAAGGGCCTTGCGGTTCTAGAATCAAATCTGGCCGATGATCCCTGCGGACAATAGACTTCAAACACGCCTACGAACAAGCCGCTGCCAAAGCCAAGACTTCGAGGACCATTTGCCATCAGACAACCTTCCGCGTCAAAATCCTGACTAGCGTGCACGTGCTATCATATCACATCTGCACCGCGTCTATCCTGCTGCATCGCGTGGCTCACACATCGTTTGATTGACAGAGATAGTGCGCATCACAACGCATTACGCTCCAAGAACACTCATGATCATGTGAATGAAGTGCATGACTTTCTGATGTGCTTTCCTTGCATCTCTTGCAAACCAGCTAGGAAGCAACAGACTGCGAAGTGACTGGTGGCCATGCGTTGCGGGGAAGGTCTTCTAGGGCAAAGGCAACGGCCTGAAGGGAGGTGTTGGTCTGTGCTGCGCGGGCTACAATTCGGGGGCGAGTCTTGGGTTCTAGAATTGGGCGCCAAGGTTTTCCGCGGGCGAAGGCAATGGCATCTGGACGAGAACGCCGATTCGGGGGCGAAGCGCGGGCTCTAGCAGGGTGCACTAAGGTTTCCCGAGGGGCAAACGCAATCCGCTGCAGTTGACTCTCGCTGCAAGGGCTCTGGCTTGGGCGAATCGCGCGACAAGGCAATGGTATCCGCGACAGGTTTGGCTCAAACAACCCTCATGCCGCATTGGTGGCGCCCAGCTGTGGTCAATGTGGCAACTCGAACAAGTTGTCGACGGCACGTCCCTCTAGCATACTGCTTGATGCGGTGCAAGATTGGCTTCCGACGCTCCCCTCTAAACCCACAAGAGGAATCCATTGCCACTTTGGGCACCCAAACATTTGACAATGTCTCTCCCAAGTGCAATCAACTACCACGCGTGGGGTGTGTTTCAGATGTTCATAATCTGCAAAGACGACCGCGTGTGAAGTGTGGTCCGGATTTAGTAGCCAACTGGCTTAGTCTGTGGCAACTCTCATGAGCGGAGACGGACTGGCTGAACAGTAACCCTCTTACGCATGGTCAAACGACAATGTTTGAAAGAAGCTCCTTTGGGTTTCCGTTCAAAGACCAGGAGTCGGCTGCAACAGTCAACATCAGCATCATCCGCATTCCCAGCACGCAGACTAGTCTACATCGGCAACATCACCAGCACTCCCAGCACAGCATGGCCCGCATCAGCAGCATCGCTAAGAATCCCCAGGAAACCAAAACACATATGCAAAAAAAACACTGATTCTGGTGCAGCCTGACACAATTTTCCGATCCGAACGCTTCTGCAAATCTAAGTTGGGGCTGTCCCCCCACCCCACCCCTCCCCCCTACTATCTCACATCAACTCTCTAGCGTCGCTTTCCGTCATCGGAGCAAACTTTTCTGTTCAGGACATTGGCAGTTTGCAAAGAGCCTGGAGTACCCCTTCTCTCTCTATGTGATGTGCCAAAGCGAGACATGACTGCATCTCAAAGCAGTCACCACACTAAAGGGCATCGCTTTCAGACCCCGGATCGTTCCCATGAGGGATGGAGAAAAAAACATGGCTGGCAAACCCAGTTGAGCACGCTGCGGCCAGCATGTCGCCGTCTCTACCTTGGGCACATCACCGACAAAACAAACCCTGCAGCTAAGAAACCTTGCACGAAATTCGCGACCTCCACTTGAGACTCCGGCTGAAAGCAACTCGTTTCACCTGGCAATGCACGCTCTGCCCCGGAAGGCCGGAAGAAAGATCGAATGTGAAGAAAAGCGTTGGTCTTTCCTCAAAGGGCAGTCTGAATCAAACTAGCAATCCCAAACGCTCAAACTCTGCCATAGCCCAAAGCAGCGAGTTACCAAATGCAAGAAGCAACACATAAAGCTGCCCAGCAGAGCTGCAGTTCCTGGGCCAGCCCTAGTGCTGGCGCTGGCCTCTGTCTCGGTGGAAATGTCCACCTACGCACAAGCTGGCAGTTGACCACTGTCACGGCTCAAAGGCTAACGAATCCAAACCCACGCAGCTTTGACCCGGTCCACGTTCGGTGAGTTCATGGCCCCCGTATCAAAGGCTTGGGACAACTCAAGCTTTCCTGGCAAAGAATATCTTTACATCTGATGTCCCCGATTAAACGCCAAGAACGCGAGGCGAGCCCGGGTGACGATGCCTTGCAGTCCAGGCGATGTATCAGTGACCACATCTTGGTGTCGTAAATCAAGATGTGCCTGGAGGTTTGCAAAATTCTGCAAAGTGCAATTTCGACTCCTTTGAAATCTCATATCTTCGCACTGGCGTCCGGCGTCCGGGGCTCCGAGCCCATCATCCGAGCCAGTGGCCAAGAGCCTTGCCAGAGTCCCATTGGACGAATGATTCCGAATGGGGCGAATCCGGAGTCCTGGGAATTCCTGGGGCCCTGGCCCCGGGCTTGAATAGTCAATACCTCAGGTGAAAATGGGCGTCCAAAGACACATTTGTTGTTTCAAGGAATTGTCTGAACAGACCAAACAGGGTCAACCTGTTGGGGCTCTGGCCAATAATGTCATCGGTGTGGCCAGTCAGTGTGGTCACAACCTGCGCGGAGTCACACAATCAGTTGCTTTGGGGCTTGGGGTCAGACCGTTGAATTCACCATTTTAGTATTTTAGGAGGACACTCAACCGTGGCACGTGCGATGCAACCAAGCACGATGTGTTCGGAGAGCTCTGGAATCAAACCGTTGCAATGCAACAATTACCTACTATCCCTGCACGCCTTCTTGTCCCGCATGTCGAAGATGCGAGTTTTCCTAAGTAGAAGCAAAGCAACACGCTTACGCACCCGCAAACAGTCCCTCGTTTTCCCATGACAAAGCCCTTTAGCACGCGTGTTTGCTTCCCGTCAGTGGGCAGTGGCAGAGTCACACACACACACATTAACACGCAGGCAACCAGTACGACACACTGCATCCGAGTCTGTCTGATTCAAGTCGCAGCACGCCTTATCTTATCTCTCATTCAAGTGACTGATCAAAGCAGCAGGTGCCGACAAAGTATTGCCTGTCTGGGTCCTGGCTCATTGTCTCAGCGTCACAAGAATCCAACATTTTCTCACTGTCCTTGCCCAGGAAGGTGACACCGTACACGGCTTTCTCAGGATGCTGCAGCCTCAAGTTTCAGGGTTGAGACGTTGGTTGAGTCCGTCAACATTCGGGGCCTTCCATGGCCTTCCCCGGCGCAAAGGGACATTGCTTCATTGCTTCTCCACCCCTGCGGGCCCCCACGTCCGTAAAGGGATGCCCTCCACAAAGTCCCAGATGATCGCCTCATGTCTCAATGTCTCAGGGAGTCTTCAGCTTGCGTCAACAGTGACGACAAGCGGCTGAAGCATCATCTGATGCAGTAGCCATGACCTTCGACAAAAGCGGAAGGCTCACACATCTGACAACGCCATTATGTGAAAGTATACTGCAAAACCCACCAACACAAGCAGCATGAGCAAGGCAGCTGCCGCAAACTGGAGCTCTCCGCCTGCTGTCCAGCATGGAAGTCTATGCCGTTGACCTCATCCTGCAGTCTGAAACTGCTGAATCCAACGCTTGCAATGACTCTGTTGCTATAATTGCTCAGAGAAAGCTGGCAACTTTGACATGATTCTGGCGGTTCCCAGTGGGAATGCCGGTTTACTGGCGCAAGCTGCAATCGGTTCCTTGCAGAACCGAGCGATGTGGCGCCACGAGACGTGGGTTTCCCTCACCGGAACTAGCCACCATAGAAAACTTAGGTGAACATTAAGCCTCTGAAGTATTCAGGTCAACATGGCGTCGGAGGATTGTGGCATTTGCTTGGCGCATGGTTGTGCTACAGGGGAACCGCGTGGTGCCGGTGGTGCTTACAATAACGCCCCACATTCATATGCCGGTTGTTGGAGTGTCATATGCCACCGTTTCTCATACACTATGTGCAGTTAATATAAGAACAGTGATTGTTTCTTATTGCAGCTATATAATGAATAATATTGAACTATGTCCGCCAACCCCTTGTCCGCAAGGGCGAGGCGCCTGGGAAGTGTGCTCTTGTAAGCGAAAACATCAAACTTCTCATGGCGTCAGGCGTTTGATTACCAATTGTCGGCGGTCCTGTGGAGATGCAACAAATGTTGAGTTGCTATGACAACAAAATTGTACATAGGATTTGGATGTCTGCGATGCGTAAATTACTTGCACGCGGACAAACACGTTGGTGTTAGAGTGGGATGATGCCTTTCAGATCTCATGGCAAAGGCCCAAATGCCAAAATTGCTGGGATGCAACGATGTATTCTTGACGCCTTTAATATTTGGGATTTGGATGTCACGTTGGAACCTGGGCGCCGATTCTGGGATCTCGATTGAAATGCTTCGTCTACTGAAGCAGTCGTTCATCATCCCTTCTTTTCTTGTAGAATCTTCCTCATCATGATGATCATCATCATTATCATCATTATCATCATTCTCATCATCATAGGTGTCATCATTAGTTTCTTTTCTTATATACACATTTCAAGTGTGCTGTTAGGCACCCTTGTGTTGCAGGGGATGCCAAGATGATAATTATCACCAAAGGCATCAATATCATCATCAATCATCATCATCATCGTCACAGGGGTGATGACAAGCATCATGGTGATGACGATGATAACTATTATCGTGGCAGTGCATCCCCAGATGCGCCGATGATAATCGTCATCGTCCGTATCACGATGATGATGATGATGATGATGATGATGATGATGATGATGATGATGATGATGATGATGATGTAGACAGGTGAAAGTTCTGTTGTCATCATATCTTCTTTTGCTATATAATGATCATCATGGTGATCATCATCATTTTCCGATTTTTACATTTCAAGCGTGCCATCATTAGGCACCCTTGGTGATGCATGGGATGCCACGATGAAAGTTATCATCACTTTTTCCCCATTGGGCAAGTAAGGTGAAAATGATAAGAAGTCCCTAGTCAGTTCAGCTACCCCCCAGCGGCATAGCCTTCCGGGCTGCCGTGGTCACAGCTCCCTGAATATGAACTTTTGCAATGGCTGTCTACGACCATATGAACGGTGGATGATCATGAATCATGCCGAGTGACCCAAGTAAGAGGGCGTTTTGGCAAGTCTACGGAGTTCAAACACTCACAGGGATTGCTCTGATTACAGAAGTTCGACTGAAATTGACAGCTGCTCCCAATAGGCAAAGGCACACTTAGCTCGGCCCACTGCCCTCGTGCTGACAAGGCTCAGAATGGCCTTTGTCTCCACCCAACTTGGAGATCTGCTGGCCTCGCCGCCGATGCGATGCGCTTGGCGATGAGATGCGACGAGCGACAACAAGGGAAGCCAGTTGAGTTGGGTGAGCCTCTGCCAAGCAAAAAGTTCTGGTGACCCCGCCTGTGATGTGGTTCCAAAGGTAGACATGCCTTGCGCTTCCAACAAAGTCACGCAATGTACCAGCGAGGTGAGACTTAAAGCACCAGCCAGCCGATTAAACCAGGGAGGAACAAAGGAGTCCCTGAGAATGCGCCCTCGACCCGAAAAGCCATGGGTGCTGCAACCAACCGGTTTGTGGAATTCACTTCCAACAGGTAGATCTTGCCAGAGGTGCCCAATCGGACGAGATAGTCGGGAGCACACAACAAACACCCCACAACTGCCACAAGTCAAAGAACACCGGCCAAGGCTGGGGCTTGTCCACAGAGGTGCACCCCAGAATCTCAGGAGCCTGCACGCAGCCAAGCAAGTGAACGCCTGTGTGAATGAACACAATTGTACTCTTGTGTGCTTGTGACGCTTGCTATCTTCATGATTGCGCAAGACATAGCAACTGTAACACCCTACAGGATTGACACATTGCAAGACACCAGCCACTGCCATAAGTCGGACAGCACCGATGGCAACTCAGAATAGAAGGCCCTTGACAACAGACTCGTGGGCTCGAAAAAGGCCACTGACTCGCGCCGTCTTGGCGAAGGCAACGGAGTAGAGACCACCCATCTGCTCTCTCTTGTCTGCCTGAGAAATGTGACTCTTTTGGCAATCAGCATAATACCTTTGCTCCTTTGTACTTTGCTCCGAGGTCGAGGCACTTTGCTTCTTTAGGGTCCTTGGCAGCAAAGCAGCAGTGCTCTGTGCTCTCAGACTCGGGTTGTGCAGACTGGTGCCCATTGCCCATTTGCCTTAGGACCTTCCTTCCGATTGAGCAAATTCATTTCTCCGTTCTCCAAATCCCTCTGAGCGCAGGGCTTCTCCATCTCCTTCCGGGTCAAGTCGTAGACGTGCACCGAGGCATCCCAGGAGGCGGTGACGAAACGCGTCGAGTCTTCGCCTTGAGAGCCAAGCTGTGAGATCGGGAATTGGATCGGATACATCTGGGACCTTCTGGGACCTTCTGGGACCTTCTGGGCCCTTCTGGGCCCTTCGTTCAGTGGCTGGGTCTCCGGACTCATGGCCACACTGTGCACTGGTGCCTTATGGTGGTTGGGCAAGTGCCTGGCATCAACACTACGACCAAGAGAGACCAGCCACGGGGTTCGCTTTGATACTCAAGAAACACCATGAAGCAAAGCCCTAGCAGCAATATGCGAAGATCCTACTTCCCATACTTCTCCATCAACACCCGACCTCTATCACGCAAGGCCTGGAAGAAACCGATTGAGAACGCTTGTTGCAGAGCAGGACATTTGAATTTGCAAACTGCCGGCACCACTTCTCCAGCACAAACCTTGGCAAGGAGTCGAAGCTCAAACACTGACAGTAAGCTGCCTGACTCGGAAATGCTGTTTGGAGCCACTTGATTAACAAAGTGTGCTTGGATGGGCAACTAAACATATTGGTACACCTCGGCGTGTGAAAAGTCATCAAACCTGTTGAACGCTTGTGGTTGAAAAGAAAGAGAGTAAGGGTGTACGTTCCATGGCGCTGAGAAGCCTAGAAGCTCAAAAGGGAATCACGCCTAGAAGCCCGGAAGCCTTGCGCCTGCGCTGAGAAGCCCAGAACCCCGCGTCCCCTAGCAGCTTGTAATCCAAGTTGAAATGATTTGCGCTCGCTGTATTTGGCTGTGCTCCAACGCTTTCCTGCTTTCCAGCGTTCTGTCGCGCTGCGCTTCGGCGAAGTGCTGGCTTCTGAATTTCCTCGTGCTCGCAGCGCTTGCTGCGCTTTGTTGCGCTTGGGGTTTGCTGCGCTTCTGCAAATCATGCTCGGCTCCTGAAGCGCCTCTGCGCTTCTCGGCCGCGCCACTTGGCCAGTGGAAAGGAACCACATGTAGCATACCCCCACACTTGTAGGGGGCCAACTCGTTCTGATGGATTGCTACAACATCCTCGGCGTCTCACCCGAGAATTGTCCTTAGGTGCTGGCCTATCAGTTCCCGCTTTGGTCGGCATAATGCCGACGCCTGGAGATGCTGAGCCAAATTCTGAATTCGGAACTTTCCCCGGCACTGCATCCACCGCTGACAAAGAGGGGACCACAAAGTCCCACTGAAAGTTCAGATTTCCCTAAATTTTGTCTGCAAATTTCCCCATCTTGAGAAGCTGGCCCAGCGGCTTCTTCCCTTCCCTCACAGCGGTGCATTGAGTTGGCACACATTCCAAACTGCCTCACAGCTGGGGACCCGACATCGGTGGGGCGCTAACGATTTCTTTTGGCCTGCAGGTTCGAAGCTTTGGTGCATGCCGAACGTTCGAACTCCCATGGAACATGCGAAAATATGGACGAGCGCAAGGCACGCGTTTGACCATAAGGGTGAACCTTGCAAACAGGCGATACATTGTGCCATTTTCAGCTCAGAAGCGCTGGCTTTTCCACCGTCTCCACTCGCCTCAGGTCCAAATTTCCAGTTCTCTTCTTTCACATCATGGAATCAGCACAGCTTGCAAGGCAACAGCTCAGGCCCGATTTCAAGAGCAAACCAACTTGGGAACTTTTGGATTCCATGGCTGCTCCGCTTCGGCTGAGCTTCCCCGCCAAGATGGCGGCACGCTCTTCGCCAGCTGCATGGTCAGCACCGAGTTCTGCTGCCCTCAGCGCGAGATCTCCGCGCCGAGCTTGGCACATCGCCAGAGCGCCCATCTGCCCCCCTCGGCCCTTCCCTCGGCCCTTCCCTTCGGCAGCTCCGTTTCCTTAAGCCTTAAGCGCCTTGCGGAGCTGATCGCGCTCCTGCGTGACAGCTTGCAGCTGGCCCTGGCTCCGAAGGGCTCGCGGCTCACAACACTTGACATTTCCGCCTGCAGCCTCTGGAACTCTTGGCTCACCTGAGCTTCTGAGCAGTTCCAAAGCCTTGAAATTTGACATGCGTTTCACGCTTGTTCAGGCTACAATTCTGAATGCCCCGCCCGGTTCATCAGCGACATTTGGCTGTTCAAGTGTTCCCGCATCTCCTTGCAATCTGTGTCGCGACCGATCCAGCGATCAATCATTCTTTGGATTGCCAAGCCGTCCCGTGAACCACTGAAATTGTCCCTTGCTGTCCAAACTGGTCGGCCGCGGGACTCATGAGGACTTTGAGCAGATCTCATGCCAGCCACAAACCACGCATAGACCATAAACGGATATTGTTTTGTCGGCTCGCAATTGACATGTTGAGACTGCATCGGAATGTCCTCTTGCAAGGCATCCGGCGTTCGGTCCAGCTTCACTGCCTGTGTAGACATGACCTGACAAGGACGAAACACCTCTGAGAGACATACTTCGGAACAAACTCCGAGAAGACCTTATTGGTCAGCAAGCGAGAACAACACAAATTGACAGATCGCTGAAATCACAGTGATATGATTTGATCGGCGATCGGCTCGGCCGAGGCGCCCCTGGAGGGGCTGCCGGCATGGCATTTTGAAGCCCGCGGCACGGAAGCATTCCCTCTCCGACTGCGCCAGGAGCGGCCCACGGCACGCTGTGCATTGGCCCAGCCCGGAAGCACTGGAGCAGAAAAGCCATCAACATACAGTCACCTGAGCCTCATGGTGGATCGTAATCACTTGGGATATCTTGAGATCGTTCCCGAGTCCCAACCAAAATTGTCTCAATAGCGCTCTCTCTCTCACATGTGCTGGCCACTGGCATGTGCTGAGAACGCTTTTTCACAATCCGCTCAAAGCGGCTGCCTCCCAAGTACAGCTAAGCACAAGGACTCCTGCTGTAAGTTCAGCCTTGACCACAAGAAGCCATGTAACACCCCCTAGATGCTGCTCTTTCATATGCATGATTTGTCCTGTGCGCATCCTGCGCCATGCTGCTTTGAAGCCAGGTGAAACGGGCGTCACATCTCCTGGCATGGCCAAGATGTGCAGCTGTTTCATTCTGTTCTGACGGGCTTTGTATGGTTACGCACCTCCGACGCTCAGAGCATGCCGTGGCTTGAGCACTTGGCCTACGCCTGGCCTAGGCACTGAGGGAAAACTGAATACTTGTAATGCCCTTCTTCAAGCCGCATGGTGCGTGCGTGTGTTTGTGTGTGTTTTGTGTGCGTTGAGGTCCTGGGTCATAGCTCCCAAGCACTTCCGCGCAAGCAGTCTACTGGGACTCGCGCTTTGTCCCAAAGTGGAATTGGGACACGGGGAGTGTGCTTTCACTGCTCCAACGAATGTAGGGCCAAACAGCCTAGGAGCCAGACTAGAGTCTTAGAGGGGTCTACGCCTACGCCCTCGAAGCCTGGGCAAGCTGCAACCATTCGAATAGTGCTTGAATATGATATGAATATGAGATGAATATGGCATAATATGCTGATTCCGTGTTTGTCTTTTCAGCGCCAAGATGTAAACAAAAATGCGCATCATGCAACTACATCTGTTCATTTATCGGGGCCCGAAACAAAACCCACAAGACAATGAGAAACGCCTATGCGAAGCCTCCGCAGCCCAATGCCTACTTCACCAACCTGTTTCAATTTGATGAGCAACTTCATCCTCTAAACCACCCCTCCTCTTAGAGAACCGGCGCTCGCCCTGAAAATTTTGCTGAAAATCATTGACATGGCTCCCTGCGCACCTGCCAGTGAAACGGGTCTTGAGTGGCTAGACCTGCCAGAAATGCCAAGGCATCGCACGCATCGCACATGTCACGTCGGATCTGGTGTCACGGCACAGCTCTTGGTGCGCGGCATTGGCTAAGCGTCTGAGACGAGCCCGCAAGGACTCGCCCTCCTGCTCCTGGAGAAATGCGAAGCATGCGCCCGTCCCACGAGGATCCTCTGAAAAACAGGAAGGTATGTTGCGGGATACCAAGCAGGTCATAGGGAAGCGACTGGCGAGGGAAATGTTGACTGCTATGCAACCGGGCTTTAGTCTCTTCGAATCCGACTCGTCCATGTTGTCAATAAGTCCTTCTTCTGCAGGATCTCCCGCTTTTTCTCCAGCTCCGCCTCCAAGCCCTGCCATGCAACTCTCATGATGTCATGCCGCAAACCATCAATGTTGGCACGGGCCTGTCTTTTTGAGACTGTCTTCCTACGACACTTAGCAAGCTTCAGCTGCTGCAACCTGCCTCCAGTTCTGCCAGGTCACCATCCTGTGCAAATCCGCCGCTTCCAAGTCAAGCACTGCAAACGAAAGTGTCCGATCCGCCAGACCCGCCTCATCCTTGGCAGAGTGCGCCAGCATGCCCATGGTCTGCTGGTACAAGGCTGAGACGCGCGTCTTCTCCTTCTGAAGCCCACGGCAGGCGATAGTTGCAGCCAGGAACACAAAGGGCTCCTTCTGGATCACATTTCCAAGTCGCATAGGTCCCATTATCAGATTGCGGTCGCTCGAAACAAAGCAACCTAGTAGGAAGAAGACCCGAGTCAAACAACTGACGGTGGGCAGACTTCCGCCTTGCCCCAAGAGCTAAGATTGCGGGCACAGGTTTCTGGACTCAACTCCTTCTCGCAAGAACCTGGCTTTGCCCTTTCATCTTGGCGTTCAAGGGGCAGGGCAGTTTCACTTCGAGCAATCGGACCTGGCCACAACGCCACATACACTCCCAACATGCCCTCTCTACGGGTCCCATGGAACTTCAATGGGGTGAGCGTTCGCGGAGACCCGTTCGCTCCTTCTCCAAGCGATCGCGCTCTTCGAGAAGCCTCCGGGCCATTCGATAAAAACTGTGAATCTCGAACATGCCACAATTTGGCGCAAAATGAAAGCGCTCGGCTTAAGCATTTTGGCTTCTGTTTTCAGGTGCATAGGACAGTCGGACAGTGAGCGCGAAAGCAAAATCCATGAGCCTAGCATTGGCTTGGGTGACCTTCTCCAGCGCAGACCTCAGATTCGCTGACAGTCCCTCGGGATCCGATCTCTCTTGTCTTGGACATGCTTAAACGGGTTGTCTGCATAAGCTTCAGGTTTTCCAATGTTTAGTGCTTCCACGGTTTAGGCTTTTTAGGGTTTAGCTTTCATTATTTTTAGGCTATATGTGTTTTTGGGTGCAGGGTTTTTAGGGTTTAGATTTTGGGCTTTTAGGGTTAAGATTTGGGCTTTGGGTTTCGGGTTTAGGTATGAACAGACCTGCGCATGTTGACATATAGACGGATGGGTAGATGGGGATGGGATGGGATGGGATGGGACAGGACGGGACGGGACGGGATGGATGGACGGCTCAAAATACCCAAAAAACACGCAAAACCACTCGTGAAGAATGAGTAGATGAATTCGACTTGTGAGAATTAAGCGCGCTTCCTTCAAACGGGTTGTCTGCATAGGGACCACCACCAATTCTCGTCCCTGTCCATTTCTTACAAACAAAGACATGGCCCTCCACAACACATTCGGTGCATCGACTGGGCTACAGGCTCCCGGAGTTGCTTCTGCTTCTCCCGGTCCTTGTCCATGGCCTGGAATCGGGTGCATCCAGAGCTTGAATCTCAGTGTCGCTGAACTGTGTGCAACTCCATCTTTTCATTCTTTCATTCTTTCATTATTTCATTCTTTCGGTCGTTGATTTCTTGCGGTTGCCCACGCAAGAAACCATCCGGCCTCAACCCGCACCATCAGGCGGTTCCGCTCATCCACCACCTGGCTGTAGGTGTCACGGAGCTGCGCCACCTGAGCTCACTGAGCTCTGAGTGTCTGAGGGTCTCTGACGGTGCGAGCCAAGGCCTCGAGCTGACGTCAGCTAAACGGTTCATAACTTTGGGTTGCCAGAGAGGGGTCGGCCAAAGGGCTTGGCCGAGAGGGTTGCGATTGCTGGGTGCATGTCAGGTAGAACACAAGAAACAGAAACGGACGAAGAACTGACACCTTCGAGTGGTGTGCTCGTCTCCAAGGATTCAACAGGCTGGAGAAGTGTTTGAAAGGCAGTCCATGATGGCCCATGATCCGCCTGGCGCTCGTGTTCTGGCGAGCAAGCGGGGGAGTTGATGCAGGCGATCTGCAGCTTGTCCAGGCATCCCTCGGGAGGCTGCCATTCCGCTCCCCACCATCAAACCTCATCTCGCCTTGGCATAGAGGAAGTTCTCGATGAGGTCGGACTTCTCCTTCTCGGCCTATGACCACGATTCTGTGTTAAACTCCTATAGGTTCTGCCTGTTTCTGGCGGGCCCGTTTGCCAAAGTCCAGCATCCAATAGTGTGGGACGGAAGCTACAAGACAAACCTGCAGAGAACTTCAAGCTTGCGAGCCTCTGCCACGCACTTCTCCAAGGACTCCTTCTCACGGTTGAGACTGTTCACCTGCACTCCATCTCCAGGCTCACCGGTGCCCATGCTTACTGGGGGCAAATGGACCGCAGGTTGACCAAAAAGAACAAAACCTGCCGCCATGCAACAGGTGCCTTAGACTCCCAGACTCCCACTAGCATCCAAATCAGAACATCCAGAGAGGACACCCAGAAGTCGGCGACCGAACTGCAGTGTCTCGAGGCTATGGCATCTGCACGCAGCCGACGGAGCTCGTCAGCGCGGGTCATGTCCTGCGCAGCCCGATTGAAGCACTCGCCTCCCAAGCAATGACTGTCTACAGTACGTGGGAAGAGTAAACATTATTCCGACAGGATCTTGCTTCGGAGTCTTGATCATATTCCTTTTCTGGAAACATTGAGGGCGATGGGAAAATCAAGGGCTTGGCAATTTGGGGTGACATGAGCTTTGGCAGGAATACGGGTAGCTGACCCTCGAGGACGTATCACGGTCCCGCTGCGAGCTCAGCTCAGCGTTGCCAGCCAGGGCACCTGAGACATTGCGGCACAGGAAACTTCAAACAACAGCCTCAGCCTCATGGCCACTGTGATGCACTGGCGCGGTGAGCTCAAGGATCGTTGAAAAGCTGCCAAGCGGCTGATCTGCCCGCGCAGCTTTGCAATCTCGCCCTTGAAGGCTTCGATGGCGCGCGCCTTAGGCTTCGAACCTCGCAAATCGCGAAGGTCGTGACTGGGCGACCACGCCCGTTTCTGCGCTGCAGGGCCATCCTCCTCCCCTGCGCAAAGGCGCTTCGGCATCAGTGATCTCTGGTGTACCATCCGATGGTCGAGTGTGCAAGAAGTCTGCATCTTGAAAAGTCACAGTCCGCGTCGCCGCATCTCAGCCAGCTTTCTCGAAACAGGAGCTCCCATGCGCGTGCAAGCCCGTCTATGCCAAGTGCTACAAACAAGCAATCTATGCAATGTGCGAGCAGTCTCTTTGTGCCACCTCTCTATGAAATCTTTCTGTGCCATCGCTCGCAATGCCTCTGTGAAGTCTCCGTGTAGGATCTCTCTGCGCGGACGTAAGCAGAATTGGGACCGCACCTTTGTGCGGTCCAAGAATAAACGATGCTGCTGCGCTGAAAGACCAAATTTCTCCTGAAGTTCAACACGAGAACCTTCATTGCAATTTCTGTGAGCAATCTCTGTGACGTCTCTGTGTGAAACTTATTGGTGCAATCTCTCTGAGTATACGAGGCAAGGAAGATTGAACCACATGATGAGCATATGTGACATGTGCATTGAAGATGATGAATTCATAGGATGGGGAAATGATGACCACGAGACTTTGTCTATGAGCACTGTACACATGTCATGCACGTGTTGATCTTGTGTTGCGCGATTTGTTCAGACCAGGCTGTAGTTTGGTGTTGATGTGTTTTTCGTATACTCGCACCATGTTCACTTTAATCATGATTGTAGCTCAAAAATGGCATTTCATGGAAGAGTGTACAAATTTGGAGAGCTCGCTGGAGCTTTGCTGTGCCAAGCGACACCTGCCAAAGGGTCGGTAGCTCAAGGACGCCTTGAATAACCGCAGAATGATTCCTGTAAATACTGCCCTTAACACTTTGGGGATGCTTGTTTGAAGTACTGGTTGGGGTATGGCCTAGATAATAGGGTGATGCACGCTTGCATTGATTCTGAAATTGGGGGGAACTTGTGATGGTAGGTGATAAGGTGATCGCCCAAAGAGTGTGTGTATGTGTGGAGGTACGTACACAAATTGAAGTTTGAAGGAGTGAACTTGCGCAGGGCCTTGAGCAAAATAGAAGGCTATGCTGACTCTTAAGCCTCTCCCCCGCCTGCTCGCTGCTGTTCCTCTACACGATGCCTGCAAAGAATGCTGGCCCGAGCTCAAAGCCACGTTTGGAAGGGGCCTGCAACGGACCAACGGAGAGCCAGACACAAAGCTATGAGGGCCCCACCTCAGCTGCTGCGCTTCCAGCTGCAAGCGGCTGCTCAAAGCCTCTCGAGGCTTCAACAGGCTTTGGGGCGTCTGCCTCTCCCGCAGGCTAAGCAAAGGCTTCGGAGCGTTTACGCATGAGGCATCCAAAGGCACAGCAAGATCTGGGCGCCGCACCCGGCCATCGTGGATCTGAAGCTGCAATGTGGCAGCAGGACCGCCTTTGGACGCCGGGGTGAGCTGCTGGTGCAGCTTTTCGATGGCCTCCGGTCACTCAGTTCAATCGCTTCATTCAAAACGACTCCAAACTCGTGGAGTCTCGGCAAAGAGCCGACCGAGTTTGTTCGGTCGGCTCTCGCCCATCTCGACTCGTGCCTCTGTGTAGCTGCCGATGGTCTCACTGAGCTGTGCCTTCGAGCGGTTGGTAACACAGCTCCATTTCTCTCCATTCGCCTTCGCTGGTTCTCTCAATCTAACAATGGACACATTGCTCACGGCTCACTCCTCACAGTGAAACTTATCCTTGTCTGGGTTTCAACTCACAATGGCAGACCAAATCGCAACAAGAACAATGCAAAACTGGCTCAAACCATGCAGCTTGTGGCAAAGAACTAAATGGTCACCTGGTCCAGCATCATGCTCGATGTCGTGATGTCGCTCTATGAGAGCTTCATTGGCTCAGCTACAGCCTGCAGCTCCCTCTTCTCGTTGTTGGAGTTCCGCACCACTCGCCTCTCGCCAAGTTGGGAAACTGCTCCGCTCACCGGTTTGTGTATGGGAGTTGGCTTTGTGACAAGGGAGCCCATGTGACTCGACATGATTCGATCCGAGGATCCAAGCCATGCAAAACTCGCCGGCGCCACTCGACCGATTCCAGCTGGCCCACAGTGCGGTCCAGCTCCTGTCTGTGTTTCGTCGGCCCAGTTCAAGAACCCGACTGTCCCGCTCCTTGCCCAGGCGATCGGCCAGTTTCTGCAGATCGAACTCCTCACATCCGACTTGCCCTTCTGGCAAGGGTCCCACAGTCCACAGTCGGTCCAAGAACCACGGCTAGGGCAGCTCCTGCACCATGACGTTGGTCAGCGGGGCCTTGGATACGTCAAGCAATCTGCGCTTGCTGCCCAAACCACGCGCCAAATCACAGCTTGAGGCTTCTCCCGGAGAAGTGCTCTGGCCCCAGGCTCCTGGTCGTGCAGGGTCCTGGAAGAGCCTGCCGCCCAATCCCTTCTTGCCCATGAGGCAATTTCCTTCGACATTGGCCCTCCATTCCACCCCGGAGGCGAAGCATGATGTGCCTCGTAACTCTGAAACAGCTCAAATATGTCCCGGAAGTCAGTGCTGAACTAAAAAAGTGCCAGTGAATCAATGGCGGCTGCTGCAGTAACGGACCCCGGCCTGCTCAGCACAAAGGAAGTGGCCACATACTGCCGAGCCTTGGTGTGATGCAAGCCGCCAAATCTGCGACTTGCCGTCTCGATGTTCGCTTTTGAGCAAAAGCCAGCGACTGCAGCATGGCCCATGAACAAGTCTGCTTCTTGCAGGCAGGTGAATATTCTCAACAGGCAGAATCCTCAGCCGATCTTTTCAGTATGTCGTTCCAGCTTTAGACCCGCGCGTGGAATGTTCGCACTAGCAGCGTGATGAGGTCACGCATGGTCCTGGAAGAGCGAAGGCACATGACAGGTAGCACAACCAAACAAGCTATCAGATCTGTTGGATGAGCTTCCTCCAACTGCTTGATGAAACATGATGCTCTAGAGAAAATTGGAAATGTGACGGCAACTGTCGAAACCTGTCCTGGACAGGGCCACAAAGTGGAAGATCTTGTCCTGGAAAGCGGGGCCGGGATGGCTCAGGGCTCTGCTCTTTGCTCCACTTGCTCCTGCTCATCACAAAGCTCCAACTTGAACTTGCAGGTGTCGGTAGGGTGGATGATCACCTTGAAGCCATTGACTGATTCGAAGTGTTGAAGGCGCAAGGGATCTTGAACAACAGTGGCAAGGTGCTCTGGATACTTGGCTTTATCACGATTTGTGCTGAACAACTTGCAATCAGGCTGCCTTACCCGTCAGGAACCATATCCATGAAATGCTGACAAAGTATGATTGATGTGGCCATGGGTCAAAATCCCGTACCCTCAGTGAACATCCCAATCCCCACTAAAATGGACTAAAATGGGTGGTGCACCTACCCCAAAATGGTACCATTGGTTTTGACCCACAGCCATATGTGAAGCGTTGCACTGAAGCGATCCGCCGCTCAAAAATATCCCTACGCCTTGGGATAGTCTGCAGAGTATGGCGCCATCACCTGCCGTGTCGGCAATTTTTCGGATCTCAAGTCGGACTGAATTGCCAAAACGTTGGCATACGTTGGATGCTGAATTCCGGCCTCGCCACTTCCGCGGCCCGCTCCGGGGTGCACAACCTTCACATGGTCCTGCGCTGCAACTGCAGGCACAGCAAAAGCTGCTGGCCCCCTTTCGCCCCGCTCGCCCCTTGCGCCCCTGGCCCTTGCGGCCCTGGCCCCTTCAGTGTCCTGCGTGACGTGGATCTGCAGGTCGCGCCTGGGCGGCTTTATGGCACAAAGCATCACAGCCCTCTGAGACTTCTTGAGGTGACACGTTTACATTCCGCGACAGCCTTGCAAATGTACTAAATGCTCTGGAATTCAATGCGCCAATCGCGCCGCAACGCGGCCTGAAACAAAATCAAAGAGTCGATAAATTGCTAAACTCAGAAACGAAATCAAGGAGCGATACAAGCTGGAAGCTGCCAATCAACTCAAAATTCAGCCATGATGAGTTGGTTGACAAGACCAGCTCTACGTTCAGAGCGCATTGAATCCGACAGTCTTAACAAGTTTAACTGGGTCATCTAGGCTTGAAATCCTCATGCTTTGATGTTTTTCCGTGCTATGTTTGAGCTGCTTGCATGGCATGTACTTGGGAACTTAGGCGTTCAGAGTTGAATAGATTCCTAGAGAAGCAATCAAGGCACGTACTATTGAATTGTCGCAGCAACAAGAGCACAAATCCTGCGACAGTAGTAGTGCCAAGTGTTCTAGTGTCGTCTACAAAGAAGGCATTCAAAGCTTGCTTGCTTCAGTGAATCTTGTTTGGAGCTTAGCGGCGGGTGAGGATCGTTCTGGTCGCGGAAATGCCTCACCTCGGGCCACACAGCGATCTGAGATCTGTGAGCAGGTCGACGCTGGACAGAAAGGTGCTGGGTGTGCGCACTGGGAAACGGCTGGCACCGCTGGAGACGATGTTCTCCTTGCATCCCCGTAGATCCGCCCAATCTGATGCCCGACACGCAGGATTTGGGGCCTTCACGGGGGGTGTCGATTTGAGGGTGCCCCTTTCTTGTGCCACAAGCAAAACCACAAGACAAACCACTATTGGATACTATTGGGCGGTACGCTGCAAAAAAGACCCACCCTCATGAACCCACTCCCACCCCCTCCGCCCCTTCCCCCCCCCCCGGTCCAAGCTCATGCGGGTGATTGGATCCAGCTCGAAAGGCCCAATGGTGGCCTGCGCCTCAGTCTCTGGGCCGGAAAACTGCAGTGGCGTTCTCGGGGTCCGAAGAAACATACAGCAACATACAGTATGTAACATACAACTCTTCTTTTGGAAAACCACAAGGTCGAGGACTGGGACTTTGGAACAACAAGATACGGCGCATGCGGAGGGATTGCTTCACATTGCCAGATCTGCGCGGCATGGAGCATAACTTGATATCATACCAATCAAACTCTGGCGCCATCAAATGTGCAACCGACCAGGGGCCGAACCATCCCCAAGTGCCTCTGGCCTTCTGGCTCAGCAAGACAAATGATCTGCATGCCTCAAGACAAAATCTAACTTGGCATATGACTGAATGCCATTCACAAGCTCGATTGCTGTCGTGTCAACCTTGAAGTATGTGTACCTGAGCCATAGACCCACATCATCCGCGGAGGCATGGTACCTGTGAGACTCTCGCTGTGAAGCTCACCTCTTTCTCACCACATGCCATCCCTGGATTGAAATCTCTCAAAGCAAGGGACGTCGGACCTACCTTCATAGATCGCAGAACCTGCTTCCCCTTGGGAGCCACGCATGGATGAGGTCACACCAGGGATTTCCACTGTGTAGGAGCCTCACCAGCCGGCGGTCATGCTGGAGCCTCTTTGCGAAGGGGGGCAAAACCCCCATCATAGATCCTCGTATCTTCTTGCTGTCTACACAGGGCGCTCTGCTTGATCTCAGAGCTCCGGCCAATCCGTCTCCGCCAGCGGCAGGTCAGTGGCAGTGGCCTGACATTGGCCATGGAGGAATCTCGCTCTGGGGGCAGTTGCTTCACAGCATTCAACCCAGCCCCCATGTGCCGAGCTTAACAGTGCTTCGTGATCAGCGTGCCAAGCATCCTAGCAAAAACCAGAAATGCAGAGGAAAGAGTAGATTCTGGCACCAGGGAGACTGCTCCAAATCAGGTGCAAGGGCTCACTGGATGCGCTAACATTTAAAGTTGAGATTGAGCTTTTGGATTCATGGGCTAAGGGAACCCCATGACCCTTGAGTTGAGAATCGAGAAACACAATAGATATATGGAGATATGCTGCGCTGTGAGCTAAACTCTAGACTGCACCCCAAACTTGCTCCGCTCCCGCGCGGCCTGCCGTCCCCGTCTCTCGCAGAAGCGACCAGCACGCCTGCCGTCGATCGGTCGAAACGGAGCCGTCTCTTGGCAAGTTCGTTCTTGGGAAGTTGGGAAGAGTGAAGCGAAACAAATGTTTCAGGAAGAAACAAAAGACGCAACCAGTTGCAGACGTCTGCGTGTCAGACAACGTGCTATAAAATACAGTGAGTGCTGTTTCCTGAAGTGTGGCTCAGCGTTTTAGTCCGTTGGGCGGGTATCGTTTTTTTGGGCCCTGTTGCTTTAAAGTGTTCACAGATTTCTTGCTTGGATGGCCAAACTCGAGCAACTTTCATCTTGTTCCCTGCGCTAACAGCCAAACCGCCTTCTGCCCTCGCGCTCTCCACCTTCACTTGTTCGTTGACAGCTGCTAATTGACCCGAACAGACACGTTTCGGACCAGTGATCAGTCTTCAAGCTTCCGGGCTGCTTCGGCCTGTCTGACAAAGACCGCCGTGCTCGCTTCGAGGCTCGAAGTGCAGTGAGAACTGGAACCTGCCGCGGGATGCCCCCTTGGTTCCTATACGGATGCCTTGTTTGGTGGAAGAAACAAAGACCCGCCGATCCTTTTCAAACAAGGCCCGCCCTAGTCAAGAGCTTAAGGATAACACATTTGACACATGTTTGACTTCCCATGAAGAGAGCTAGCTTCAGGTTAACCCCCTCCTGTTTGGGGCTGACCGCCGGCCTCTTGCAAAGGTAGCTGCGGGGATGTGCCAATCAGCCTCTAACACCCCATTGCCTTGCCAACGAAAAGGACATGAAACCAAGATGCCGAAGAATTGCCTACTCTAAGATAGCCTTTGCGAACATTCAGCAGGCTAAGAAACTCCACGATCCTAGACTGCGTCTGCTCGGCATCTGTGCAGACTTTTGCGCGCTGCTTCTCACGACAGAAGACGCCCCCCCCAGTTTGCAAAGCCCAAGAGACAAGCTTGAACAAGTCCCATGCAGCAAGCTTCTTGCTGGCTCACCTCCAAAGCTGAACGAGGCAAGTTGCTGTCCCTGGGCTTTGCTCTTGCCCGGCACTTACGAGAGGGCAATACACCCAGGGGTTGATGCATTCTGCATGTAGATCCCTAGTCGCTCAACCTGCTCAACATGCTCAACCCCTGATTCGCTCTGAGCATGCCTTCTCTGTCAAGAGAAATTGCTACGTGAGAAGCGGACTGACTCTTGCCATACAAATGACACGCATGCAGGCCGCATGCTTGTCCGCGTCATGGAATGCTACCAGTGCTCCAAGTCAGATCAGGAAGAGTCGAGCTTCACAGACGAAGGCATCCAGAATTTCTGCACAGCCAAGTGGGCGCTTTGCCCCAGTAGCATGACCTAGCCCCAGAATTTGGATGGTGCTGGTGTTTGTGTAGACTTTGAGACTTTCGCTTCTTCGCTTTGACAAATGTGCGGTTGACTAAAACTCCTTGTATCCCGCAATTCAAAGGACACCGCAAACTTGGGACGCCCCCATCGCTTCCCCCAGCTTTTTGAAAACCGATGTCCGCCGAATACATATTCTAGCAACGCGAGTTTTGACGGTTGCTCAAATGACGTTGTGGTCCGATCAGTCCTCTGTCATAAACACGCCTGACACGTTTTGATCAGAACTTCTGGGAGGTCTCGGGCACTCTAAGTCTTGCAGCCAGGACTGGGAAACTGCTCACTTTGACCCTGCACTTGCCCCTGCTCAGCCGGGCTAGCTGGCTAGTCGGAAGACCGGACATGACAGCTTGCACCAGGCTCATGTCCAACGCTGCCAAGCCCCTTCTCGCAAGAAAAGGAGCTCGGCCTGGTTGCAGCTGGAAACAAGTTCGGCACGCATGAAACCTGATGGAACATTTGCCCCTCTCATGGCCGTTTCCTTTCATTGTCATGAATAAAGAACAAAAATATGCCAACAGCATTCAGCATGCTGGACTTGCAACATACCATGCTTCTGCGTTCTGCTTGCTGCAAGCTGTCATGTGTCACATTCAGGCAGCGGCCGCAGCCTCACTCACGCCCGCCCTGTTCTTCTGTTCAACATTCGACTCGTCACTCCTCATTTGGGGAGAGCTTGCAGAACAGGGCTGAGGAATCATCAGCTTGGGAATCTGTCAACAGTGTCTATCATGCATGGGACGGGAGTTTGCCTTGAGCTAGGTCCGCATCCCTTTGAAGACAACACACATGGAACGGATACTATTGGCTGGTTTCATTGATCTGACTTGGGCCAGGGGGCCTGCCTTGAGCTGGGCTTGTCGCTATCTGGCCATCAAAACTCGCGCTCGCATGGTCTTGGTGCCATGGCCCTCAGTCATCGTTGCTCAGCTGCTGCAGGTCAAAACCATAGAGCTGGTCAATCCTGAGTTCAAAAGGCTCTCTGACAAAGCCCGTGTTTCAGCCCTGTTTCTCGCAAGCAAAACCCAGCCCGCAACTTCACCGTGGGCCGCGCGGAGCAAGCACGGCTCAGGCGTGACAGTGCCGGGCTTACTGCTTCCTGAGTTCCTGGATTCCTGAATTCCTGGATTCCTGGATTGCTGGATTCCGGGACCAGCCACTTGAAACGTTTCCACTGGACATGATTGGATGGGCCACGACTGGAAGTAACATGGTGCAAACCCTTCCACAAGCACTTGTGGCCAAGATGCAAGTTCGTACGCAAGCTGCCCGGACCTTTGCTGTCCTGCCACGCTGCCTGGCATCGCCCAATTGATTTGTACGTCTCCCCCGCGCAAATTGCCACTTGTCAGGCTTCGGTTCGGAAGAAGGGACTGCCGGCCTCCGAGCAAATGCCGAAGTAGATGAACCTTGGGAACCCGTGCGAAGCCGGAAGGCCCATTGCAAGTTCCGGCGGGAACTCACAACAACATTCACCAAACGATCTAGAACATTGAGAAGTCATGCCAAGTGGATAAACTGTTATGATACACGCAATTCTCGTATATATCATGCATTTGACTGCTTGGTTGGCATCTCATCACTTGGTTGGCTGTCGCGTGCTAGCGGTTGGCAAAGACCGTGAGCGATGCGCTTCCGGCTTGCAAAAGGGAAACCTATTTGCACTGCGAAGACACGCATTGGCTACTTTGGCACTTGTACGAGCTTGAGCACGATTATGGCGTGCACGCCCCGAGACCAAACTTGACGGACGTTTGCATTTATTTGCCGTGCCTTCAACTTTCTCTGTTCGTCGACTGCCCAGGGAAGACTAGAGCGGGACCGGTTCCTTGCTTGAGACTGCGCAGCAGGCGCCGGGAAGAGCTGAAACGAGAACTTAAATGATCGCAGAGTTAAACGTATTGAGGTTGGACATACCGATGCGGAAGAAAGCGGAATTTGAGCCTCGGAGGCAAGCTGAACGAATTGCTCGCTAGGAGGGCCCCTCGTTGGGAGCTCGCGCTGTGCCAAATCCTTTTAGAACGTCTGTGCAACTTGCACACTTGGAGTCTAGTCAAGTCAAGGGGAACTCGAGGTAAGACTGAGCCACAGATAGGGAAAACTCTTCTTGGTAGCGCTCTAGCAACTAGCTGCCTCACAAGAGCACGTCCGACGTAAGTGCACGCGACGCAAATGGAAGATATCTCAAGCGGGCGCTTGACACGACTCCGGAATTTGACAGGCATTCGGCCGAGCGACGCGTAGAGTGCAGCCTCAGCGTTGCTGAAGCCAGCGGGTTTGGCAGCCACGAAGGCCGCGATGATGGAGCTGACCTCAAGTCGACTGAAAGTCGGATTGATTCCTGGGAAGCCGGAACCTCCAAAAAACACCTTAAATCAGTTAGACCAGACCTTGCCCATCTTTTTTCATAAAAAACCCCAGGACCCCCCCCCCACACTTTTAGCAACATTTTAAAACAGCACCTCAAACAGCACAGTTTCAAAAATCAACCTTTTAAAGCAGGTAATTTCCTAGTAAGTTCATCCATATTTTAAATTATTTTCAAAAATAAATTATAAAAAAAATCAAAAATATAAATTTTGAAAAAATAGAAAATATCATTTTACATTTTTCAAAAAATATTATTCCAGAAATGATGATAAATTATTTTAAAATAAATTTTACCACAAATTTTGTAGACATATTATGGGCAAGGTTAGGTAGATAGAATTTTATAATTTAAGTTCAGGATAATAGTTTAATTGATGACTACTAAGTTGTGTATATATCTTACCTCTTTCATGCATCATTTTTAAAATAATATTAATATCTCTCACTGTATTTTTAACATTAAACTTTTGACTTTCAATATGTAATTTAATGTCTTCTTTTACATCAAACCCTTCCCTACTATGATAAGTCAACATCCATAATATACCTTCAATCATTTTATTTTTCTTACTGATTTTCAGAAATATTCTAACATAACTATAAGGTGGTCTTCCATACACAGATAAAAATATTAAAATCTCATCTTCTACATTTCTTTCATCTATTCTTTTAATCTCCAAAATATTTTCTATTATATTTTGATATCGTCTCCATCTTCTACAAGTTCTACATACATCTTCGTCCAACGCATAATCAATAATATTATTCACTATTCCATTATGTAAATTCAATTTATACAATTCCATATTTTCCTTTTTTAAGTGGCAACAATCATAGCATTTTTTATTGATATAAGTATTGATTTTGGTTTTCATCATCTCGCTATATAATAGTATTATAAAATATTTCTTTAAATACTTTTTACAAGAAAATTAATTTTAACTTAAAATTACATGAATAAATTAAAACTATAATTAAATTATCAATTAAATTATAATTATCATCATTTACAACTGCAATTACATAATTTACAAAATGGGATGATATTTTCTATTGTATGAGTTAATTCATTATCTTTTCGTTGTGCTGTTAGATTAGTCATTATATTACCATTTTTCATATCAATAGTAAAGCCGCAACCGCAGTAATTACATTGGTTATTTATATTACCTAAAAACCATTGAGTATTTACATAATCTTCTCTAGGTATGCTTCTTTTTGCTTTCCTGTCTTGTTCCTTGTAATTCAAAATGTTCCTTTCAAAATAACTCATAGTACATTTTTGATTAAATACATCATCAACATCTTTTGTATATTTAAAAATTTGACTTTGTTTAAATCTTTACACCTTGTAATTGCTGTCCATATCCATTCTGGGTAATTCTTTTTCCAAAAAATGATTATAATCAAAAATTGTTATGGTGTCATCAATGCTACTACCTTGAGCAGAATGACATGTAGAGCAAGAAGCAAATATAAAATTGCTTCTTATTTTAGCAACTTCTACGGATTGTAATATTTTGGTTTTGACATTTTTTAATGTAAATATTCCATCACTTCCAATATGAACTATTTTATAGTTGAAATGTACATTAAAAAAACTGATGTTTTAGTTTTAGTATATTCTCTACAAATTAAAAACTATCCTACTTCATATTCATCTTTTCTATTTTCTAATTTTCTAATTTCATTTGATACATTTTTACAAGTTGTATTCAAAAATGCTATGTTGTTTTTGGAACTACTTGTGTCTGTGGTGTATTCAAAATATTTTTCAATAATAGTTTTAATTGGTAACTTATTAACAAAAAATCAAATTTTATATTCTTGAGTTTATCTTTATCTTCCTGTGTGTTAAGTCTCTTACATTCTTTCAATACTATATTATGTGTAAAAATAATATCTATAATATTGTCAGTGTAGAGTTCATAGTCTTGAGTATTTGTTATTTCTTGCACTGGTTTTAATTGCTTGGTGTCTCCTGTTGCTATTATAATTTTGTTGCGTTTATCTTGCTCTACAAATTGTTTTATTCTCCAGTATGTATTCAAATTACTAAAATAGATTTCATCAAATACTATCACATCAAAATCTGTAAAATCAAATGGTTCTAATTTTGCATCGCCGTAGTTTATTCCAAAAAACTTATTTATAGTCATTGCTTCACCTTCAAATGCCTGTAATAATTTATTAGTAGGACAAATAAAAATTACCTTATAATTTTTATCAACCATTTTTTGACATATGTATGATTTTCCTGTGCCCGGCAGTTCGCCTTTAATCATAATAGGGTTATTCTGTTTAACAATCTCTATAATGTTATCAGTGTCATACTCATCTACAATATCAGTAGTTTTACTTTCATAAACTGGTATTTTTATTAGTTCATTATTTACAACGTTAAATTTTACTGTAGGTAAATTAATTTCTTCTCTCTGCTTTGAAACTTTCCAACCTCCTATATCATCATGAAATTCTAATAATTGCTTTGTTTTTTCTTCATTGCATGTATCAATTACAAAAGCATCTGTTTTTGCACTATATACATTAATATTATTAGCTATTAGTGTCTTAGAGTCTTGGTTCATTTTAAAATTGTGATGTTGTAAAAGTAGTTCTTTAATATATCTATATCCGTTTCTTAATACTGCCTTATCCTTCAAATTCAATATATAATATGATGCCTTTACATCCCATTCATCCTCATCAAATCCATAATATGTTGTAGTTGCACCTCCTTCGTCGTCATATTCAGTCACCGTTTCGGGATATTCGCTTACAATATGCGATAACTTATTAATTTTACCTCCGTATTCTGTTTGATAATGGACTGATTCATCAATACTTTGAAATAAAATACTTTGATGTGCTGTAGCACCTCCCTCTTCTAATAATCCAAAATTTACATTTGCTATTAACTTTTCAATTAGTTTATCTAATGCTTCGTCATGTTCATCTATATTTGTTTGTAAAAGTTCATTAATACTATTTGTATATTCAACCTTATGAATAAATGAAGGTTGTTTATAATATAAAATATTGATTTTGTGTGTCTTATTCTCATTGATGAATTCCTTCAAAAACTTGCCATATACTAGATGATTTTTTTGTTGAAAAATAAGTTGTGATTGCCACTTGTTACAATGTTCTTAATTTCTTGTTTTAATTCATCGGGACTTAAAAACAAACTTAAATCATGTGTTTTACGAAATTCTATAAGTAGCAACGTCAATACCTTTACTATATGCAATAGAATATATCATCTGCTTGGTGCGTTGGTTTTTCTCTATTAGTTCCTTAATGCTGTCCATTGTTGTTTTTAATGGTCTTACATTTGTATCTATAGTTTCAACATAGTATAAAGTTAATTCATGGAGTTCATCTATTTTAATTTCATCGTTGTATTTTTTCCAATGGTCAAACTGGTTAAATACTGGTATTTCCATAATATTAAAAAAAACCTTTGGTAAATGCTTTATTTGCATCTATTTCTGTTTTATAAACAAAATTAATATTACTTAATAATTGCCCCGAAGGTGCTATACTTCTTGTTTCATTTAATATTTTAATATCAATGTCGTTATAAAAGGATGTATGTGATGACATGAATAAGGATTAATTGAAATTAAACATTGCTTTGTTCATATTGTTGTATGTAGTTTCATTGCTAACTGCAATCCATCCATCACCGGAAGATTTAATTAAATTTTGAGTTTTTATGATATATGTTACCTTGTTCAATCTTAATCTTATTTCATCAATAATACCTGTGTATTTAATTCTGGGTTCATATCCAATATTCAACAACTGGAACAATAATTCTGCCAAATTAGTATTTTCAGGCACTAAATATATTTCCTTTGTTTTATCATCAGTTTTAATTTTAAGTATATCATCTATACATTTAATCATTTCGTATTGTGGCGGTTCTTCTCTTTCATTTATATAATAATCAGTGTGTGCCTTTATAGTGGGTAGTTTTGTTATTAATTGCTTCTGTTGTATCTTACTTAAATCGTAGTTTAATGTGTAAATATGGTTATTCTTCACCATTGCGTAAAAGGTTTTTATATATGGTGGTTTCTTTTTTCTGGTTCATATTCATAAATAACTTCATTTACAAAATTGAAAATTCTAACTTGAATATTAAACTTTTTGAATACTGCTTCCATTTCCTTAATTGTCGCGCCAGTTTCACTGAAGTTTTCCCTACCTATGAGTTCAATAATTTTGTCTCTGGTTAATCTGTTGCGGGTTTTTTCATTCATGATTGTATCACTGTAAAAATCAGTTAATGAATTTATCCAACATTCATTCTCTATATAATTACCTTTCTTGATTGCCTTTTGTATAGTGCCCTCACTCATTTTAATAGGTGTGTTTATATATTTATGATAAACTGATACGTTTGTAGCATCCCTTAAGTTTTCGGTTAATATATTAAACTTTTCGCCGTTTTTATTCATCTCTTCTACTGATAATATTTTGATACATTCAATATCATCATAAAATTCTGTCATTTCTCTATATACTTCATTAAAATCTTCATCTGTTGTTAATAGATTTCGTGTGTCATAAAATTCGTCATTTGGTGTATCACTATTGCTTCCATATTGTATATCTGAGTTGCCTAAGTATTTAAATATATTTTTTCTTATAATACCTGTTGAAACTGTTCGTGCTTGAATTGTAACATTAAAATTATCATAAGTTTTTGTGTAAAAAATCATTCGTCTGTGTTTAAAAGCGGTCTTAGATTTTATCTTTATACGTTTGCTTTCCTCTCTTGCTGTATACAACATAAATTGAATAAAATAAGCTTTGTTTTATATCTCGCACTCAACTCATTACCTTTTGTTTCCCTATACTTTATACCTTTTGTTTCCCTATACCCTTTTGTTTTCCTATTTTGATTAATCCCTGCTTCATCTTCTTCTTCGTTTTTTGCCCTTGCTTCTGCAATTCTTTCATTGAATGGTTTTGTATCCTTGATTTTCTTGATATTATCCTTGTATTTCCCCACATCTTTGTGTGGGGTTCTTACTTTTACCGCTCCGCGCCCGCCGCCCGCCGTCCGCCGTCCGGCCCCGCCGTCCGCTGTCGCGGAAGCCATGCCAGGACGGGATCGTCCTCACGTAGAACCTTGTCGATCATCTCTTCTAAAGAAGACCTCAAGACTCTTACCTGCCTCTTGGCAAGTCCGTTGCTCCGGTGGTCACCCACCGGACTCCTGTGGAACGTTCTCCACTCCAGCCTCACGGGCTGCCTGCTCCTTAAGAGCAACAATCGAATGCTCACCATCACTCATCATAACCGCTCTCCGATAGCCTAAGTGCTTCAGAAAGTTGGCAAAGAACTTCACGGCATAGGGTGTAGGACCCTTTGCATCCACAAAAGTACGGACAACGTCCGGCTGTCTTTGATCACCAAGATAGGCTTGGCTCTTCCATCTTCCTTGCCATCTGTAGTCATGAAGGTGTAGTCGCTCGCGATGATGGGTAAACCGTCATCTCTCTTACTCTCCTCATCTCGAGACCTGTGTTGCTGACCCAGGCCTCTCCCGGCAACGCAATGCCGGCACCAAGTCCTGTACTGAACATGGCCTGTGGACTCATGCTCGTCCACCTCCGCCCTTGTCGGGTTCGCTGGTGCGTGCACCAACGCAGGCGGTGCAATCTCCTCACTCTCCTCTTCTCTCTCAGGAACACCCTCAGGTCGGCCCTCAGGTGCTCCCATGTCCTCATCTCCTCGTCCGGCGGGCACGGCATCATCTGCCGCTGCCAACCGGAATCCATGCCTTCGCATGGTGCTTGTTCTTCTCCTTCTCAATGAGCTCCAAGATCTTGCCAGAAACCTTGGAGTCCTGCGGGATCAGATTCCCGCCATGCTCATCTAGCGCCGCAACTCTGCCGTGCTTCAAGCATTTGTAGGCTGAGACCAAGGGTTTGTACCGGAGCCAACGGGCCTGTGACACTACAGCAGTGCCCAAACTCTCCGGTTCCTTTGAACACACCCGTACCAGTCCCTCGGACCAGCTCACCTGAGGCCGTCTTGAACATAACCTCAGTTCCTTCCTTGACCGGCACTTTGTCTGCCCAGTCTGATGGGATTGCTGTCTGGGCTGCACCGGTGTCCAAATTGAAGCGGACCCATTCCATAGCCTGGAGATCCTCTCCAGCTGTAAGTGCACCCAGTTCAAACATACCCACATCGAGCTCTCCTTCGGGTTGTTCTTCTTCATGGGCTCCCTCACCTGTGTCTTTCTTCCAGTGAGTTCGCTCCTTTGTGCTTACCCTTGCTCTTGCCTTTCTTTCCACCTCCTTTTGAGCCTTTGCTTGAGCCTTTGTTTGGGCCATCCTTCTTTTTACTCCAGCACTCCGCAGCTTTATGCCCGGCTTTACCGCAGTTAAAGCAAACTATGTCCTTGGAAGCTGAACCTTTTCCCCCACTGCCCTTGTCTTTACCCTTACTTTTGCCCTTTCCACCGGATCCCTTGCCTTTGACCAGGCTGTTGATGACCTTCGTGAGGCTGTCCACGTCCATAGGCGCCGGACCACTGTCCGATGAGGATGCTGCGCCAAGGCGTGAAATCGGCGCCTTACTTCCCAAAGAGGATTCAATCACTAGGTCAATTTCTGATTTCATCTGTGCGTAGGTTGTGAGGCGTCCTTTGTTCAACAAAAGGTGGCGTTCAATGTCTGAGGGTACAAGCAACTCCAAGCTGGTCGCCTTTATGTCTTCCGACAGGCGTTCTCGCTCACCAGCTTCGTTCTTGCGATTTTCATATCGCCTGAAAAGGTCTTCGAGTTGCTCTATTGCAGCCCTCACATTTTCCCACCGTTTCACACGTTCTGGGTTCAATATCGCCCGGAGTATGTTTCTCTTCCGTCCGGCGGTTAAGGGATCCCACCGGCGGTGGATTCTTCTCCACGCTTCGAACCCATTAGAACAGCCTATCACCAAGTCCTCAGTCTCTCCATGGGTTAAGGAAGAAAGCAAACGAAACAATTGGTCCCCTATGTCTGGTAAACCGGACACCCCGTCCGGCTCCCCATGCGCGGCCTCGACTTCGTCCACAGTGATATCGTCGGGCCCATCCTGATCGAGGCACCAATCCAATACTTTCTCAAACTCCTTCCCAAAGATGCTGACAACAAGGTTTGTGACTGAACGCACCCACTTCCGGAACGTATGCTCTTCATGGTTGAACCGTTCCGGCTTACCAATCTTTTTTGTGTCAACCAACAGCTTCCTGGGTTCTTCCCTCTTTGTATTCCTGGCCAATTCTGTCATGCTTTCGGCCAGCCGGGTCAACAGGGCAGTTTGTTCCTGTTGCCTCTGTTGCTCCTCGCGCAACACTCTATTTTCCTCAAGGATCTGCTGCAGTTGCGCTTGTGTGGCAGCTAATTCTGCCATTGGCCCTCGGCAGACTATACGTCTGCCTCGCTATCCTCGGCGGGCTCTTCCACAAAGATCTCGGACTTCGAAGTGTAGGTTTCCGAGTCTGTGGACTCCTGCTCAGTCGGAAAGCGGACTCCGGACCACTTAGGCTGCGGAGCTCCCGGTGGCTTCTGCTTGGGCTTGAGGAACACCGGTGGGCCTTTGCTGCTTTTGGCCACTTCCTCACCCGGCTTTTCCTCAGGCTGCTCCTTGGGCTGCAGCTTGGGCTTGGGCTGCAACTTGACCTTTGCTGCAGGCTTTCCAGATGCTGTCTTGGGCACAGGTGGCGGCTTCTTCGCCGCGGGCTTGGGGTTCACTACAAGGGCCTTTGATGCAGCGGTGACAGCAGCAGGTGCGATAGGCGTCGCGCCCTTCGCGCCCTTGCCTTGGCTCGCGACGCGCGCCGCACGCTCCAACACCCATGGGTATTGGGCGCGGTGCCTCTCGTCGCACGAGCTGCAAGCCTTCGCTAGGCTGTCACGGGCCAACACCTGGGCCCTGATCGCTGCCGTAGCAGCTCCGGCTGTTCCCTGAGCCGGTGATTTACTCTCGGCAATTTCCTGAGCGATTGCCGCGTTCCTCAGGCGGTAGTTGCTGGGGGTGGCTTTGCCTGCACGCACTCTGCGCAGTGCTGCCTCTTGCGTGGCTAGCGCCACACTTATCACGCGGCCTGCAGACTTCGCCGCGGCTGCCACCTCCGGCAGCAATGCAATTGGCTCAGTGCCTGGTGCTGCTGCTTCCTCAGCTGCTGCGGCTGCTTTGGCAGTGGGCTCCTCCTCCTCCGAGGTGCTTCCACTGGTCGGCCTTCTCTTACGGCCGGTCAACTCCCGCTTTGGCCTTTGCCTTGGACCACCTGGAGGGGTCTTTGGCTGCACGTTCCTGCCAAAGCCTTTGGGAACGGGCACCTCGTAGCCGTACTCTTCCTCGAACTTATCGAGGGCTTCCTGGACTGCAGGCGGGATCGGGTTGTTGCGCTTCAAGTTCAACTTGACCAAGCCCCGCAGGAACCGGTAGGACCTCGCCTCCTTGGACCGGCGTCCGTCCTTCCACTTACCGGCTGAGTTCTCCTGCACGCGGGGCCAGGGCGCCTTGCTCTTCTTCTTCTTCTCGCCCTTCTTGCCTTTGCCCTTTCCCTTGCCTGCTTTCTCGGGCTTCTCCTCAGCTGCTGCAGGGGCCTCCTCTTCTGATCCTCTTCCTCAGCTGCTGCTTCTGCTGCTGGTGCTGGTGCTGTGCTGCTGGAAGCCTCCGGATGCGATGAGGACGGGGCTGCCAGGGCGATCAAAGGAGATCGCCAGTTGCCCCAGGTGTCCGAGTCCGACGCTGAAGCCTCTGTGGATCTATTGACGATCCACCCTTTGCGCGGCGGCTTCTTCGGCTCTGGGGGCTTATCCTCTCTCTTCTTTCTCTTCTTTGGTGGCTCCTCTGGCTCCTCCAGCAGCTTAGCTAAGATCCTCTCTGTCTCAGCTGCCTGCTGGGCAACGCTCTCCTCGTTGGGGGACCAGTCCGGCCCCGAAGCCAATTCTTCTGGCCCTTCTTCAGCTCCTCCGAGCTGAGGCTCCTCCACCGGGCAGCTCCTCCGCCGGGCTCCTGCCGCGTCCGCGGCCTCCCCGCCTCCAAGACGGTACTGATCCACGCCCTCTGCTGGCGTAGTACCAAATTGAGCGCTTAGGTCCCTCTGAACCTTTACTGCTCCCCGCTACCATGAAAATCTACTTGGCCGCTTCGGAGCGCTTTATTTTCTTGAGACAAAACATGTCAGTAGTCTCAACTGTACAACTGTATATGACAACATGCGTATTGGGCTACATATTTCAACATCTTTGAAATAAGCTTCAACTGTTTTATTATATAAACTGCCTTCCTCGTCGCTATAAATAATTTCTGGTTTGCCTTTCATTTTCTGCATTCCTTCCATTACTCCCGCTAATATGTCAGGCGGTTGTTTTGATTTAATAGGTATTACCGTAGAATATCTGATTTCATTGAGAAATTCAGAGGGTATCAATTAAAACCATCCCTACTTTAAATTTTTGATTGGGTATGTCATTAATAAAAAAAAATAAATCTAACTGAAATTCAATTTATGGATGTGGAGCAATAAATGATTTTTTGCCTCTTAATTGATTCTTCTGTTCTATGTTCTTTTGAAACCATTCTTTAACATCGTTTAAGGTTATGCTTTGTTCCTTTTGTTTAGCATCCTTATAGGTTGTTGTGATACTTCCGTATCCTGGTCTATCATAATAGATTTTGCTAATTATATCATATTTTTTAACATTTTATTCAAAATCTCCAGTACTATTTAAATATGCTTTTAGTTGTTTCTGTTTGTCTGTATTTTTGTATGTTAGTTGCTTAAATATCTTGTTGTGATCATACTTATTTATTCTAACGCAGTATATAGTGAAAGACATTTCATAATATAACTTTTCTGGCATATTGTATTTATATAATTTACACCTTTCCTTTTTGTATAATTGCTGGTAATATATGGATTTCTTATTCTCTGTTTTTGCTATATGTTCTCCTATCTCACTACAGGTATTTCGTAGAATTTTCATTTTTCCAAAAACATAATCTACAATGTTATTGTATGAAAATATGTTTATGTCGTGTCTATTTTTTCTATGTATTCATTCTGATATTGTTTGTGGTAATTACTCCATATATGATAAAATGTAGGGTTTTTTTAAAATTATCAGTGTCAAAGAATTGATTACTAAAATGATGGTTTTCATATGCTTCTTTAAATCCCTTGTGTATTGGTTTCGTGTAAAATTCTGTTTGGTGATGATTTCATTTAATATTTTTTGTATGATGGATACGGGTTTCATTTAGTCAAATACAATATTTGTATTTCTTCAGGTTCAAAGCGTTTAATTGTATGTAATTTGTCCGTTTCTTGATTTTCTTGTGCCATTGTCATAGACACCTTTGAGCAGGTTTTACAAATATTATAATTAGCAATTTTATTAGAAATATTACTGGGTAATATTATATTCATTTGTAGTTTCAAATTTATTCTTTGCTTTTTACAAATTTGACAGTTCTTGATATTTTCCATAATTTGAGTTTTAGTGTTGCGCATACTCACGATATAATTATAATACATAATATTTCTTTAAATACTTTTTTACAAGAAATATTTTTATAGTAAACTTTATATATATTTTATTTGTTTCCCTAAAACTATGGTTTCAAATCCCTCGCTCTGGGGTTTCAAAACCTAAAACCCAAAAAATGCACCAAATATTTATTAAAATATTTATATTTTAATAAATATTATTTATTCAACTGTTATAATTTTATATGTTTGTGAACTATATTTTCTTGGTTTTGTATTCTGTAAATCTTCTGGTTTATTTTCATAATCAATATCTTTTAAATTAATTTCTCCATTGTCTGCCATCTTGTCTAATTTCTTTCTTCTGTGAAATCTTATAGCACTTGCCCTTTTGGTGTCCATAAAATCCTTTTCGTGTCTCCTTCTTTGATAATATAATCTGTTATATAGTGCCAGTTGTTCCTTTATTTGTTCCAGTGTCACATCTTCAGGTTTAATACTCATTATACTATATATTATACTATACTATATACTTCTTTAAATACATTTTACAAGATTTTTAAACTATATTTTTTTATTTTTATTTTTCTTTTTAAAGACTTCATTTTCCAAATATTCTACACGAGCAATAAGTTTTGTTAAAGCATCCCAACTAATACAGGCCATTCTGTCATAACACATTGTTAAGTATTCTCCTGTATCATTTACAATATTATATTTTGATTTGTGTATTGTTGAACATCTTGAGCAATCCATCCTAATTCAGTTTTTTTAGTTTTGATTTTTAACAAATGTTTTAATCTTAATGTTTTTTACCATATTTATAGTATCATCGTCTACATCTTCTATATTATCTTTCAGTCTCTTATCACTACTTAAATTAAATCCGGTATATGATGAAAATTGAGTATCATCCAATTGTAAATATTTAGTGCCACCAATATAACTATCAATAGTTGTTGATGCTTCCAGTCTTAATACGGCATCACTATTCAAATGTCTCAAATTTATTTTATGAGCAATTCCAAAAGTCATATCGCCGTCAATAGTCCAATTGCCACGTAATTCGCTATTACTTCCACTATTCAAAATAATTTTATTATCAGCATATGTTGCAGATAATCCAACAACCAAATTAATAGAGTTTGAAGTGTTGCTATTCCTGATTATTAAATCATTTGTATCGACATTTCAGCATTATCAATTATTAGTTTTGATGTGTTGCCAAATTGAACATTGCCACTCGGTGAATTTTGTAATAATAAAGTATTTCCTGATACTGACTGAACTTGGTTGACTTCAACTTTCTTACCAGAAACCATTGTTAAATCGCCGTTTGTATACATCACCTAATACATCAACTGGTTTATTGAATATGGTTTTTGATACAGCACCGTCGCACATAACATATTGATTAGAAGAATTACTAACATCGCCAGCGCTAACAGCAACAAAATTATTATGCGCCATATATAAACCTTCTGTAGCATCTGGTGTATATCTTCGTATTGAACCATTGTTAATAAAATTTAAATATGAACCATTGTTAAGACTAATTGCTTTATCGGTTCCTATAAATTGTACAGCATCAGTAAACCTCGCTTGACCAGCACAGTTTAAAACATAACCAGTAACACCAACAGCACCTAAACCAAACCTATCCTTAACCCAGACACGACCAACATTAGCATCTCCTATTTGAGTTTCCCATTGACCTCCTGAACTACTCATCCACATTCTGCCATCTCTATTAACATTAAATTCTCTGTTAAACATTACAAACTGAATGTGTAATCCATTACTTGGCGCCCTATAATTATTACAAAATAAAGTGTTGCCGGTAATCATTGTAATAGTATCTTGAAAAGTTGAAGCACTACTAAAATTAACAGCACCTGCTACCGATTGTGGGTTAGTATTTATTTTATCTAACTTTTGCAGATCCATTGGTATTAAACTATTGATACTAATTGAATTTTGAGCTATTAATAAATCTTGTGTCGTGTTGTCTGATATGATTGAGGCAAATGTATTACTGTATGCGGTATTTGTATTGAATAAATTAGTATCATTTGTATATAATGTTGATACATCTGCTTGAATAGTTGTTTTTTTCAGTTGTAGTCCACGAAGCACCGCCACCTGCTTGCAAATTTGCTATATCTGTTAAAATCGTTGTTATTGTGTTTCCGTGTCCTGTTATGTTATTAATATTTGTGTCAATTAATGATATATGCGAGGTTATTGTATTTTGATGACTATTAACAAATGTCATATTACTGCCTACAGTGTTATTTAATATTGCTATTCCGTTTGTGTTTGTTGCTATGTTGCTATCGTGTGTTGTTAATACTGCTAAATGTGATGCTAATATATTATTATGTCCTGTGATTAAAAACGAATTGGAACTAATACTATTGTTAAAACCACTAATTAAACAGGTGTTAGAACTAATATTATTAGCATTTGTGTCAAGTTTAATTGTATTGGCTGATATAGTCGGTAGTATTGAAGTTATGGTTAATCCGTGTGCTGTTATATTATTAAGGTTGCTTGTAATTGTTGCGGATTGATTCACCTGTTCATCAAATATTGTTGTTGATGTTGCGTTAATTCCTGATATTGCTGTTATGTTTGCATCTATCTTATTTTTTGTGCTAAAATAAGAGCATCAACTTCTTCAGTAGTATAACCTCCACCTAATGAACCTGTTGTATCTGCTAATTCTTGTTTCGTAGCATAAACACTGCTTAGAGTTGATGGTTCTGTTGAATTTATTAATACTAACTCACTTGCTATAATCCTGTTTGAGCCGTCCAGTGATAATGTTGAAAACATAATTATTATATAGTAGGTTATATAATAATTATATTTCATCTTTTCTTTCCTCTTGAACCAAATATACCTTTATTTACTGCATTATATTTTTCTTGCTTCTGTCTCATATATTCATTTTGCAATAATTGGTAATGCTGTGCTATATGTTGTATTGCTCTTCTTCGTTGCGATATTCTACCTTCTGGGGTTTTGCTATTGGAACTGCTTTTGGTTTAGGTTTTATAGGTTTAGTTTCTAATGGTCCCTGGCAATTGCGTTCGTGACTGTATCTGTATGATTTTAATGTTAAAGTTTTGGCACATTTTGGACAGGTGATTTTCTTTTCATTGCGCGCTTGAGTTTTTGAGTTGTTTTTAAGAGGTTCTACAGGTTTTATTTCTTGTGTTGGTTCTGTTATTGGTTCTGCCTTTGGTGCTTCTTCTTCAATCTTTGGTAATTCATTTACTGGTTCGTCTACTTCAATTGTATTAGTAATTTCAGGTTCAACTTCTGACATATATCCGCCGACAACAGACGGCGTGTTGGACACAAAAAATGCTCCTTACCTCTTTACCTGTTACCCCTCCCCTAACCCCTCCCCAGGGGCACAGACTATTGCGGGGGGGGGGGGGTCCGAAGACGCTTCACTAAATCTGTTCATTGTGCGGGCCTGCGCAACTCAGTTTGTCAAAAACATTGGGGTGTTCGATTCCCCCCGGGTGCGCTTTCGCATCCTTAGCAGCTCCAGCGGCACATCGCCAGCATCACCTGCATCATCCTCATCAGCGCCTGCCAAGGATGCGGATGATGCAAGTGATGCTGGGGATGTTGCCCATGCTGGTGAAGGAAATGAAGGGGGGAAAGGGGGAAAGGATCTCAACAGCGAAAGGGGGGGAAAGATCTCAGGGAGGAAAGGGAGAAGATCTGGGGAAAAAATGCCTTAAGGGGGAAAGGGGGGAAAAGATCTTTGGGAGGAAAAGGGAAATCTTTCTCGGGGGGAACAGGCCCTAAGGGGCAATGGGGGGACAGGATCTCAAACGGGAAAGGGGGAAAAAGACTTTGGGAAGAGAAGGGTGGAGATCTTGGGGGGAAAAGGCCTTAGGGGGGAAACGGGGGAAAGGATCTTAAGCGGGAAAGGGGGGAAAAGATCTTAGGGAGGCAAAGGGAGACGAACTCAGGGAAAAGGACTTAGGGAGGAAAGGGGGGGAAAGATCTTTGGGAATAAAAGGGAGAAGAACTGAGAGTGAGAAAAGGCCTTAGAAGGAAAAGGGGGGAAATAAATGATCTCAACAGTCCGCGTAGCCGTTCTGGTGCACCGCTCGAAACCCTCCATGGCCTTGTTGCGGTTGTACTCTCGGCCCTTCAGCAGGTCGTGTACGGCCACGGTGCGGCCGTAGTAGTTGATGTCGTCGCAGCGCTGGCCGTTGGCGAAGACCTGGACGCGCTGGACGAAGCAGGCGGGGTTGGGCGTGGCCGGGGCCAGCGGGTTGGTGCCG